TATCCACTTTTGTCCATTTATTAAAGTCAAGCGTTGAGCAAAAAGTAAAATCAAATTTACATGAGACATATTAAATCCACGCTTAAAAAATGTGAAAACAATGTCCCCTGCGATTAATTCTCATCAAAGGATTAATTATTGGTATTATTAATTATTTACCCATAATAATAAATTAACAAAAAAAAACACAAAATTACATATTAAAGTGTTTTCAATAATTGTTTCAAACTAAGTTTTCACGAAAATAATACTTAGATGTGGGTTTAACAAACGGGGCTCTTCCACAAGTCGTATTTCAGACAACTATTATAATTTATTAAGTGTCTTCGACATCATGAAAAATTGCAGGCATTAAAGAAGTATATATCAGAATTTTACAAAAGCTGTAACATCTATTAGATGTCCATTTTGCAATTTAAAGCTTCATATTTGAAATATTGTGTGTAAGTGTACATGAGCATGATTTGTTAAATTGCAGCACTGCTATGCAATTTGTTTTTTCAGATTTATTTTGCAAGTATGCTCCATTCATTTCTGTGTCACTTTTGAACATACAATTTTTCCTATCTTTAATTTAAACCAACTAGTCAATGTGGTGGATATAAAAAACTGGGACAAACATTACAAAGGACAAATCAAAAAATCAGAAGTTAACATCAGGTTTTGGCTTTTTACAAATACGGTTATAAAAGTTAAAGTTCAGTATTTTAATGATGTCTACATTTACAAGGGTTTTATAAATAACACAATTGATTTAGCATCTCCTTATGTTCAGAGAGCTTCAACAGTAATTTTTAGATTGCTGACAATTTTTATTTTGAGTGACAATGGTGACAATTCAATGAGCAAATTTTGAATGTTCCAGCTTTTAATATTTATCAAAAAATAACGATTTAAGAATGTTTATTTTTTCAAATAAATGTGAAATATAAATATATCCTCTGCAAAGTTAGTCTTTGTCCTTACTATTAAATAAAGACTGCTGCAATTTTGTGACAGAAGTACATTAAAAATTTAAACTAAAAACATCAATAAAAGGCAGTGCTGCGTGCTATTTTCTTCGTGTCACATTTATCTAAAGAAAAGAGTAATACTCTAAGCACTTTTTCCAACAAAGACTGTTTGTAAAATTCACACAGCAATTCCCAGACGTAAAACAACCAGCACAGTTTATTACCCAATTGTCTCACTTTCTGTAATCACAGTCACGTACAAAAGATACAAATACTGGAACAATTCTAAAAAAAGAAAAAACTCTATGTTTAAATGACTTAATAAAGAATAAGGTACAAAATCTCTAAGAAATTAAACAGTTGCAATTCTAGTTCTTTCCTCCTAAATCCATATTTATTTCCAGCCGCAAAAGCAACATACATTTTTTATTAATTCTTCTGAAACATTTTCTAATTCCAAAGCTCATTTTTTACTGTCGCGTTTTCATAATGACCGCATCTGCTAAGCTGTTAATTTTTCTTTCCCCTTCTTAATGTTTTATTAAAACGCTGAATCAGTAAAGTCACGTTTAAGTAAAACCCGGCATAAAGGTCACTTTTTATCGACTTGCATGAAGTTTAACGACAAATTTAATAAAGTACAAGAGCAGTAAAAATGAAACCGACAGGATAAAAATTGCTTCGATATAAATTCGAATTTATAGTCGTACCTGCTCTATCAACTTCCTATTGGTTGGTGCAAATTCGATGAACTAAGCGACGACCTGAATTACGGGCCCTTATTTATACACCGGAATGTTTTATAACCTACTCAACATCGGCAATAGTTTTATTACAAGCCTCTACAAACAATTCAATTCGGCTTAAACGAACTGACACATCCAAACACGGTTTTTTTCAATAACACTAGTTTTTTATTTTATTTCCTAGTATAAAAATAAAACAAGGGCTTCAAGAGTAGAGTAGATACTAAGTGCTATATCCTCTCAAACGTCCAGACACAAGATTAATTTTTATGCTCTAGAAAAACCAATTAAACCCTAAAAGAAAACCCAGTTATTTAGAAAAGAAAAATACTTCGTAAAATCAACAATTTAATATTAACCCGGCGCATCCACCATAATTTTTATTTCATTTGTACTTTGTTTGAAATATTAAGTTAATCCAGGTATCCGAGTATTGCAAACCTTTTTGCAATGTTTCAGTAAATTAATAACAAATTACTACATTATTTTTAATAGAAAATATTTAATTAAAAATATATTCGTAAATAAACATTGATCCAATTAAAATACGCTTCGATATTTTAGTTTAATTAAACATCGTTCATAATAATCAATATAATACGAATTAAACAGGTTGCTAAAAAATAGTAAAACAAACAATTTTATCTACAGGTGTTTCAGAACTCGCACCCCAGAGAAAAATGGCACGATACCAAAAACATAAAAAAATGTTTCAAGAATTCTCTCTGTCAAAAAATTTTAACATTTATTTTTTGACATTTCACCTTATTTTATGTCTATTAATATTAACGATAATCTTGAATGTGTGTTTTCATAACTATTCGCTAAAGGTACAAAAACTTTGACAGTAAAAAGCCACAAAAAACGTTAAATATAGTCACAATTCAGGATAACACTTCTTTGTTTCCTCTTCTAATAGCTAACAGCAAAAAAAACATGTAAAATTATTTTTCCAATAGAGATAAATACTCCAATAACTTCAAAATTTTTATAGATAGAATTTTTTTAACATTTTTTCCATGTTTCTGGTTATTTAACTTACTTCTCATTTTTCTCAGAGGCGCGAGATCTGAAACACTCTGTATATCGCTCATAAATACGAGTATGTCATGAAAATATTCATAACTTGCAAATTTAAAAATAAATTTAAAATTTTTTCCACAACCAGTCAATATTAGGTCATAATACCACTACTAGGAGACGTCTTACGATATGAATAAAACACACGGGTCTTATGAAAAATGAATAGCAACCCTCTCGTAATGAGCCCTGCCCACTTCTGAATAAAAATTAGTTTAACAAACGTCGCTTAAAAATGTCAAATAAAATTTTTTCAAAATGTTAGTTAAGTCTAAATTGTCTGCTTGTGGATAAAACGTTGTATTGCATACGGCTCTTACAATAAAAAACCATTATTAAATATTGACGACTTGATACGCTAATATAATAGAATAATAAATAATAATTGTTCATTATCCAAAATATATACACAAATTCCGTTAAATAATAAAAAAAGATCAACCACAACCACAAACTCTAACTAAACAATTGAGAAAAAGTTGATCACATTTCAACCCTTAAAAATTCAATACAGATATTCCTGTGCATAAAAAGTTCGACAGCCGAATCCAGAAGGTTGAAAAGTTTTTAAAGAAAATCTCCGTCAGAACTGTCAAGTTATGTGAAGTCATGAACTGCGTAATATTGTACGAGCATATTTCTCGTAACATTCTTCACGGAAAATTGTAACAGACTCGACATAATCATCTCAAAAACGTTCTGAACATTTGAGAAATCGCTTAACGCTACATTAAATCATTAAATAGAATTCTCCTAGCCACGTTTTGTCGACATAAATTATCACTTTTTTAAGATTTATACAAGTTGTAGCAAGAAAATGTATTGTACTCGACTACTTTCTAAGTCAATTCGTAATTCATAATAATCATCTAATGGCATTTTGTAATAGACTTTTAAGGTAAAAAACCGTATTACATTATTATTTTTTCTATTATACGTATATCCACAACTACATAATTATATTGTGTTATAAGCTTTTAAAGGTGTAATAAAAGTTGCTTCTATGGCAACTTTTTTACTTTGTCAGACAAGAATTTATTTAAATACAGAAGAAATATTAAAATATGTGAGGCTCTTTGCTGCCAAATTTATGCTGATATAAAAGCTAATGCAGAAATGATCTCAACACCGCAAATTTATTCACAAGTTGATGCATAAATATGAACTATGGAAATTCACTGCATAATATGCAAAAAATGCAACATAATTTCATTAATAACTTCTGTAAAGTATCACTGTTAGGTAAGTCATTTTAGGTAAATTTAATTTTCAAAAAAGAATTGAGTTTATTAATTTATCGTTTAAATCAACTTAAAGCTCATTACACCTGTGTAGGTTGTTTCACTATACACAAAATTCCCTTACCTTATTAACTATAATGAAGTTTTCAACTTATGTACTAGTACACCTACTTCCGCTTAGTTACTACTATAGTTCCGCATATACAACCAGCTATACAAGATTTGTTTTATTCAAGTTTGCTTTTGCAAACGTGTTGTTCAAGCTGTATTTTCGATGTTGAATGTTAGTAAGTATAAAAAATGTATATTACATATCAAAATTGCAAAAGTAGCAAAAATATTTGCTACAAATACATATTACTACATATGTAGGAAAATAACTGAACAAGAAAACGTAATAATTTTAATTACAAATACCGCATAAGACAAAACTACAGCCCAGTAACATTACAGTATATTTACTGCTGTCGTAACATTATCTCTTCGATCCTTGATTTGTCGTAAAAATACACTAACAAAGCTTAAAAACTTACCACGCTGTAAGACATGACATGAGACTTACCTGAAACAAACAAAAATTATTAATTACCTGATCTAAAAAAGTGGACTGTCTATCGATATTACACACAAGACTCACTTGGGTTTCATTGACTCATCAAACTGAACCCTTCGGCCAATTTTTGTCAGAGTTAGCAAACTGTATAATAAAAAAATATGTTAACAACATGTGAAGTATTACAATAAATATTTAAAAAGATTTTATTTAGTTTTTTTTTCAAAATTTATTCTTCTTGATTCATGACTCAGTAAAATAATACTCGTAATAAAGTAAGCATTTCATGTTTGATTAATTAATTAAATGTAATCGTAAATCGAGCGCGTATTTGATAACACCTGTAGTATCAGTAACACTCGTAAAACTAGTCATTTTGTTGTAAACTGTTATAACGGTTACAGTTATGAGACTGACTGTTTTTATACTTTCAGTCAATATTTTACTACAAAATGTTTCCAGTGCAGATGAGGTACGTTTTTTATTTAAAATTCTTGACAAAACAACAAAATTTCTTTAAAAAAAATATAAACTACAAAGTGCACACCTTCGTAAGTAATATTAATTTGATAGTATTTTTTGTTGCAAGAAAATCAAATTAAATTAGGCAAGAATGTGTAACCATTTTATAACGAAAAGTGCTTCTTGTTTGTATTAAGAGTAAGCAACAAAATTACTTCTTTTTGCAAATACTTATTTAAGTTAATTGTTTAGACAAATGGATGCAACAAAAAGAAATATTTTTTTATTCATATTAAACAAATTAAACATGAATAACAAAAGTTTCAGGCATATTTAAGAAATTTTTGTTATATTAGAGCATGTGTAGTGCAAAAACTACTGCTATATTTTATTTATAGAATCAAGAATTTTTAAAAAATAATAATAGTGTTCCCGACATGGTTAGAAGTTCTTTATTTAAAATTGACGAAACAACCCCTCCAGGTAATTATTAAATCATTTTTTATTGTTAATTTCAAAGTACCTGTTGCTTTCGCGTTTGTTTTTTTATTCACTAATTTTTTTGTCATAAAACTTCTTGCTACAGCAATGAAATTAAACCCATTTCACTTGATATACGAGTACATGTTTTATTATACATTATTTTTTACATTTACCTTACAACTTTGTAGCTATGTGATTTTAATATTTTTAGTTAATAACTCGAAAATACCATCAATAGCAATTTTCCCAATCGTGGAGACAACAACACTACCACCTTCTTTTGGGAAGACGTGTTTAGACCATGAAGAGGACTATGGGCGAAGATGGCCAGAAACCCAAGCTGCAGCTTGGGCAACAACCAATAACATGGTTTGTCTTCACGAAGACTACCTTCCCGTTAGAAGACATTGCTCAGAAAAGGCTGTTTGGAAAGAACCAGATGCTAAAGGCTGTGCTCAAGTTACTTATACAGATACAACACATAAATTAATTGATTTACTTCAGAAAGATTCACCAGAAGCGATTAACACTCTTGTTGAACTAACAGAACAAGATCAAAAACGTTTTAAAGTCATTGATATCTACCTCATTTCACAAATTTTACAAAAAGCTAGTAGCAATAACAATATTGCAAAAAACCCCGACAATTTTACTGAAGTTATTAGCAATATTATGGACTTTGAGAGAGAAACACTTAATGCTTCGCAACAACTTTTAAACTCTACCGATAATATTTTGTACAGTTTCGACAAACTCCTCTTACAAACAAGAAATACTAACATCACACAACCTAAACTATTTATTAGGACTATAAACGTAGACAATAATGTACATAGGGTAATGATCAAAAGTAATAAATACAACAATAGTTTTCATTATTTCGAAATGTCGGAATTTGATAATGATGAACATCTACGAAACCAAGATTTAGAAGTAGCTTTTTTGGTACGTAAAAATTTTCCAAGAGACTGCTACTTCATTTCATTATTTTACAATGACTATCTTTTTAACCAAGATGAAAACGTCACTCTTGGAAGCTGGATCCTCAGTATTTTAATTCCGGAAACTGGAAATGTTGATAACCCGTCAATCCAAATTTATTTTAAAGAATTTAACAAACATGCACACCAATCGTGCAATCATTGGAAATACGGCAACGATGAAAATTATATAGCAAAACCGGGAAAATGGAAATTTGATAGTGTAGCTAAAAAGTTCAAAAAAGGGTATTACATCTGCGAAGTGAACCACACTACCCATTTCGGAATGTTAGTATCCGGAACGGTGCCTGAAAATTTTATTTTGGACCTGATTACGATTTTCGGCTCGATTTTATCGATAATAGGGATCATCGTAATTATATTAACCGCAATATTGTTCGAGAGGGGGAGAAACGAAATAAGTAAAAAAATCGTAATTAATGTCTCCATATGTTTGCTACTTTTGATAATATTGTTTATTATATCAGACCGGGTTAATAACGGTAAGGCTTGTATTACGGTTGGAATTTTGTTGCATTACATAGTAATTGCTCAATTTTGTTGGAGCTTAGCAGTCTCTTATTCGAGTTATCGCAGGTATTATATCGTGTTCAATTATCACGTTGTGCATATTTTAAAATTCTGTATTTTCTCGTGGGGAGTCCCACTAATTATTGTTACAATAACTGCAGCAATGAATTATCAAACGTATGATAAATCACCAGATAAAGAATCCTCCCAAATCTGTTACCCTAAAGGCATTTATCTCAAGTTTGGAGTGTGCTTACCGATGGCGGTCATATTGACCATAAACTTGATCATTTACATAGTTATACTAAAAAATTTAACAGCAACAAAACTGAACATAAGAAAACATGTCACTAAAAAATCTTATAATAAACAAAAAGTATTGATTTTGTTGTTTTTCATGATGGGCATGTCTTGGGTTTTTGGTTTTCTTGTCGCATTCACGGACAATATAATTTTTCTTTATATTTTTTGTACTACAGCGACTTTGCACGGTTTTGTCATTTATCTTTTTTACATCGTGGATTCAACCGACATTAAACAACAATGGAAAACTATGTTTGATAAAATAATACCAAAAAAATTAACACAAAAACTGAGTTCTAAGAGTCAAAATACTGACATCGTTTCTGAATCTGTAGTTGGATAATTGGATAAAATATCTCACCTGTCCTCTTCTTCGTCTGTCTCTTCTTCGTTGTCCTCACCATTGGTGCAATAATTTTCATCAGGAATTTTTAAAGTGTCAGTGGACATTTTTTGTAGTCAACACTTAAGAGCACGATCGTCAGTGTTACTAAATGATTTTATATTATGAAAATAACACATCGCGGTTGTCCTTGTACGTACTAACTTAAACAAGATTAAGACCCTTAATGCCCTCTAAATCTTGTTAAAGTGTGATGGTCATAGTAAGTATTCCAAACATGATTAGTTCAACACTGTTTCGATGTAGGAAATTAATCGAAAGCAAAGGTAAAAGTAATGTAAACAACGTTTTAGATAGTTGATTCGCATTTTAAGTATCATAATAGGGTTATAGCTAAAATGTACTTTTCATAAATAAATTATGTTCCTTTTATCTTAACAAAAAGTGTTTTTTAATTCGTTTCACACCTAAGAAACAATATTTATGTTTACATATAAGTGATTGTTTAATTATTATCAAAAAACCTCATTTGTAAAAATTTAAATATACAGGGTTATTCATAAATATGAAGCAATATTTGAACCTCAAAAATGACCTATAAAATAATGATGTTAATTTAAATAATAACTCGTGTCCTATCTCTACTGATAAAAATTTTACAGCCCTCGGAATGTGGGTATGGAAATTTGATTTTTTTGTAATAACTTTGGAACTCTTTGACCAAATATTATAAAATTTGGAACATTTCCCTGTGACAACATACCCTTTAAACTGGTAATCACGAAAACCGGATACATCCACTCAATTTCCGGTTCCAGCAGTAGAAGGTCACATTTTCTGTGTTTTTCCATTTTTTTGCTCTCTTACTCGTAACACCAATTTTTTATTGCCCAAATCGATAGAGTAATCAATCAAAATCCTTATTTTTTGATTTCAGCGTTGTGCAGTCCTCAGTTTAAATTAAAATATCTTTGAAACGGTGCACTTTAGGTGTATTAAAGATTATGCGTTTTTTATTCGAAATTGATTACTCTATCGATTTGGGCAATAAAAAATTGGTGTTAAGAGAGCAAAAAAATGAAAAAACACAGAAAATGTGACCTGCAACTGCTGGAACCGAAAATTGAGTGGATGTATCCGGTTTTCGTGATCACCAGTTCAAAGGGTATGTTGTCACAGGGAAATCTTCCAAATTTTATAATATTTGGTCAAATAGTTCCAAAGTTATTGCAAAAAAATCAAATTTCCATACCCACATTCCGAGGGCAGTAAAATTCTTATCAGTAGAGATAGGACACGAGTTATTATTTAAATTAACATCATTCTATAGGTCATTTTTGAGGTTTAAATATTGCTTCATATTTATGAATAACTCTGTATATTTTACTATTATTTCGGTCATCATTTTAATCAAAAATGGAAAGCATGTCGATTGATAGAAAATTAAATACTTTGAAATTTACTTATTATTAGGTATAGCTTCATTTGAAAAAAAAATATGAAAATTATAACCATATTTTGCAAATCTACCAATACTATAGATTCTATTCTTAAATTTAAATCTAATTGTCTTCTTTTTTATATAGGGTGATTTTAACAACAGCAAGTATTGTAGAATTTTATTTATACCTAACCCAATTTCAAAAATTAAAAAAAAATGATTAAATGGCTTTTAATATAGTATAAGCTAACAATTTTAGAATTTTTCTAAATGTCATAGTATATTTTGAGCTATATTCAACTTTCTAATTTTAAATTAGAACTAGAATTACTTTCAGTAAAAATTATTTTTTAAAAAATTATCAAAGAAAAAAAATAAAAGTTTTACTACAGGCTATTAGAAGAAGAAATGTGGAAGCTGTATCCTAAATTATAACTGTTTAACATTATTTGTGGCCTTTATTGGCAAAAATTTTTGTACCGTTACTAAATAATTATAAATAAACATATACAGGGTGATTCTTAAATAGACCGACAAAATTTTATCACAGCTTCCCAAGGACAAATGTAGACGATCTGTACCCCTTCTCCGTTTTTATCTTTTAGGGGTAAAACCCCCTTGATCCGTGCCACTTATGGCGTTTATGAATTGTTGCAATGATCAAGTGCATTTATCAAATTAATACCATGGTTTCCACTACCTATTCGAAAACACGTCAGTGGCGTACGCATTATCTCGAGCATAACTTCAATAAATTTTATTTCGAAAACGGTTAAACAAAGAATTTTTTACTATTTTTTTCCAGCATGTACTCATTTGCTCCTACCACAGCTAAATTTTTGTCGGTCTTTTTAAGAATCACCCTGTATAAGATCATCAGTAACATTAAATAGGCAAATTAAATGGCAAAATTTTTTGAACAGATAGAGTTTTTTAAACATTTTTTCCATATTCCTGGCATCTTATCTTACTTGAAATTTTTCTCTGGAGCGTGAGTTCTAAAACAGCCTGTATTGATGACATTATCTTATTTGACACCATGCAACTAGTTTTTATAAAAAAAAATCAAATTTAATAGATTTTTTAAACAATAATTTTTAGTAGGTAAAAGTAGAACATTTTGCACATATCTGTACTAAGAAACCTAATACCTTTCAAATTATGTAAAAAAAATATGGGTTTCAATTTACAATTAAAAAGTTTAAAATAGCCTTAATAAACAATTGACATTAACAGCCATTTAATTTCATTTTTAATTTTCGAAAATAAACCGTAAATAAAAATTCTATAACGCCTGCGATTTTTTAAAAATCATCCTGTATCTATTATTTAATTTATTATACACATAATCACAATAGCACAATAACTTACTTGGATGTTATAAAAACTCTTTTCATTAGTAACAATTAATTACTAWAATTTATAAAAAGCAAAACCGCAAATTGCTTTTGTAATTTATTTCAGACAAAAAAATTACTCTATATAAATTTGTTTGTACATTATCATTATTATTATTAAATTATAATAACAATCAAATCGTTAAAAAATCTGCTTAACGTTTCCTTTTGATTAAAAGTACAATTAACTCTTCTGATTATTTCTGAAAATTATTATTAAACCGACATTTTTAACAAATACTTTAACTGCATACTTTAACTAACATTGCCAATCGATTAAACATAAAAGTTTTAAAATAACAGTACCTAATTGTTAATTCAACTTCACCGTTGCAATTTTCTCTCTGTGAATCCTTTCACTTTTATTCTCTAATTTTTAAATGGCTTATATTTGATTTAATATATTCTCTATTCCAATTTTCTCATCGTTATTAGATCATTTGCAAATTAACATTTGCAGCCTACCAATTCTAACAATTTGTTATTACGCAAATACCAAAATTGGTTTATGCACAAATTCAATTCCCGTTCAAGTGAAACCATAAAATAAAACAACCTCTGCCGATTTAAATCTAATATTCTGCATCGAAATTCTGTCACCGTTCATTTGACAAATATGATAGACGTTGATAATCCAATACAGACCTGTGCGATTCATACCATCGATGTCTCGTCAATCGGACAGGCGGATGCGGATCCAAGGCACAAAATTTCCCACTTGGCACTTGACCACTTTCATTCATTCTGGAAATAAACGCAAAATAATGATTTAAAAATGCCGGGAGAATTGACATTTTAAATAAAATCAGCAATTGATATCCCGGTGTTTCTTCGGTAACGCGGTGAAAAAAATTCTAGTACGGACCTGAGCGGCTACCCACAACATCTGCGGTTTGGTTTGTTGTCGATTTATTACGCTCTGAAAAACTGTTGCATACACAAAACCGACTAGTGTGTCCAAATTACAACACACACCAAACATCCGGGTAATTCACCGACACAGCACATATTTTTACCGGAACGTAAAAGCAAAATTGGATAAAATTTCGAGAAAATTACATATCTAAAGGCAATAAAAACATAACAATTGGATGAGAAGAACGGCTTAAGTCAATGAATTAGTGGACGTTGCGCGCGCAAGAAAACACGTGTAATTGTGAGTAGCATAGGATTTGTACGATCAAAAATATTTTAGTCAGAGGACAATTTTTTTCTAAATACATCTAGATATTGTAAAAATTTCATTTTCTAGTACTCATCTTTAAAAAATTGAATAACAAGTTATTTAATTGAAGATAATAAAAAAGGCAAAAATAATTCAAATATTTATTTTGTTTCATTCATCATCAATGAGAAAAATTTTGCAAATTTTCCTAATTAATTCATTCTATTCTATTCTATGTCTATTTCATTATACCTTCTCATTCAATTCAAAATAGAATATCTGGGGCAAATGTCAAGGTTAGCTCTACGCTCAGCGTATTTTTATCAATTTTTAGGTAAGATCATCTTTTTAATTAGGCGAATATAGAATGGCAATGGATGAAAGTGACTAAGTTACTTACCTTGGAACTGATTTCTCATGAGCGTTACCTTTAAAACATTTTTTAGAACAAAATATGATAACTGGATTGTGACTAGAAGTTCACGTGGAGGTTATTCAAAATAAAATTTAAATAAAGAAATCTTCAAGCAAAGATTTTTAAAATTACACAAACGTGACATTATTTCTTTAATAACCATTTTCAAAATGCCATTGATTTTACAGTAAAGAGACTTTCAAACGACCTTTAAGAAAGAAAATTCTTGCAGTTTTCCACTTTTTACAAAACTGTGATGGTAGAGTTATTACTTTTAAAGAGATGGGTGCCCTCACGTGTTCCACATAAAATGTTTGTTTTTTATTATTTTGCATGTTCTATTTCTTCAAAATCGATCAAAAGTTTATTTAATTTAAAATTGCTACACAAGACAATAAAATTTGTCATCTCGTCGTAACGATAATTGCCTTGTTTTTATGACGGTTTAATTGCATATGTCGTTGATAACCACGAAAATTACAATTAATTGTATTTTATTACATATTTTGATACAAAGTCTCAGTTCATTACAGGTTTCCTACCATGTAATTTAAAAAAATGTGTTGTCATCTAAATTTAATGCTTTCTAAATTTGGCAACAAATCGAATAATGCAATAAAGCAAAGGTTCGTTTTACTTTAAAATTCGTAAAAAATCTGCAAAAGCGTAGCATTAATTAAGGTGACCTTACGTGTACAAATTCAGTTCAAAACTACATGTAAATGCACTTAAACTTGTCAATTTAAATAAAATAATTGATTTAGTTTAGTAGTTAAATAAAATAAAACACACTATAAGCACGAAATTCCTACTAATATAAGAGCGCGGAATGAGACGGATCCAAAAATAAATAAACCTGAGATACTCGCACGTATTTTTGTTTTTCTCGTAAATATTAAAGGACAATTTTATGTCGCGAAAAAACGTGCCTCTACAGCTTTAAATAAAAATTAATAAACAGATTTCGGCTAGTTATCAACACATTACACCGCCCACCCACCGATTTGCCTTAAATGAGCTAAATGCGTTTTATTTGCCATAAATTTTAACTAATTTCGTGACTTATTATTATCGCACATTAAATCAACAAATTTTACTTACACATATTTGTGGCTAGAACGAAATATAAGAAATTTCATCTTATCACAAAAATAAAAATTGGTAACACAAACACAATCACTTCTTTCGTCCACCGGTGCTTTGGCGAGTGAGAATAAACAAAACCGCTGTTCCAAGCAGATCGAATGTTTATGGTATTATTTAAACAGTGGTTGCCCGTCAACCTTGGAATTTACCTGTATTTAAAAAACAATTAAGCTTTATTTGTATTGGAGAAATGTATATTACTGTACAATGTATAATGAACAATTTTGTTTCGTTGACAGAGAAGGAAGATTAACGAAAACAATTGCGAATTTGTTTACGAGTCTTCAACTGAAAAAAACTATTTTGAAATTTAAATTTCATCTGACGCAGGTTATTGCGCATATTAAATCACACCTGGAAATAACTTTTTGACCAAATGAATTACCCATAAATATTGTGATTTTCACGTAAATGGCCTTGACACAACAAATAAGACAACAATAAACTATTCAAAAAATTTATTTATACATTCGTTATGAACATTAATAAGTAGAAACATTTGCTGGTTCTTCAGTTTCAAGTTCATACTCCACTGATACATGTGGTCTCTGTAAGCTCCTCTTAAATGGCGATTTGTCTTTCTTCTTTTTGCCAGTTTTATCCTTCTTGGACGTACTTGGTCCTTGAATATCCTGAAAAAAAATTATGAACAAAAAGTGACAGTTTTAAAAGGATTAACATACTTCAATGTCCGATCCTTCAGATGATTCAAAACTGCTATCAAGATCAACTTCTTCAGGTTGGCCACTATCACTCTCCTGTAACAAAAATTTAGATCAAATTAAAACTAGCCGTAAATTAAATACCACTTCATTTTCACTTTCTTCATCTGTATCTGCTGGAACAAATTCACTTCCATCTTCACCTTCCATTTCCACTTCTTTTTCTGTCTCTTCAGTTTCGGACTCTACTTCATTTTCTCTTAGAGCGTCTTCAAATGCTGTTTGGGGGATATTGTACAAATCTTGATACTAAAATTTATACATTAACACTGAAAAGTAAAAATGTATAATGACGTACAACTCCCTTCTTCAATCTTTCTACTAAAGTCTTTTCAACTCCCTTTTCTATTCTTGCAGCAATAAGGGCCTTCCTTTCTCTTATTTTTTCCCGTCTTTCTATATTACGCTGCAAGGGAACAATCAATTTCCTGAAACAAGCTTTTAGAAAATTACTTCTAAAATTAAAGTTACTCACTGTCTCCTCAGTTTAAGTTTTCTCATGCGTATTAAATACTGAGTAATTTTAACAAAACGCTGTTTACATTTTGATTTGATAAATCCGGGCCAGTACAGCAAATTTTCATTAATTTGATGAATAGCTTTTTCAAAGTTTCTAGATAATTTCACTTTTTCCCATGTTTTCCTTGGAAATGCTGACCTATAATATCACCAAATATTCACAGAACCAAAGATTAAAATGCTATTAAACCTCTCAGCTGTCTTCATGTACAAATAAATGATTCCCTTTTCTTCCCTAACTGTGGCATATTGACTATTTGCTAAAGGACATGAAGAACGATTACACAGACCAGTTAAATTGTATTCATTGCGGCAAAATCTTTGTGTTTTTGTGCTACAAAAAAATAACTCAGTTTAAAAAACGTTATTATTACTTTTAATAACTTACTTAACCTTGTATGAACAAAATGCTTTATTAATGATACTCCAAACAACCTAAAACTTATCTTAATAGAGCCGTTGATATAATTTAAAAAGACTTACATCGTCGTGTTGCATTTTTAAATACTAATAGTAATTATAATAATTAAACAATGAATGCATAAAATATCTTGAACTTGTATGTAACCTCAAACTTGACACACGTGGAAAATTGAAATCAATTTCGTAATACTTTTGCGTTATAATTCCGATAACAGTGAATAATTATTTTATCATTTTTCCGTAAAATCAAGTAAAGAAACACTTTCTTACCTTTATATTACAACTTTTTGTTACTGGTATACTGGTACTAATTAGTAAATATGTTTTATTTTATTTTTATTTTGCTACTTATTATATTTATTTCTCGTAGTCTGGATTTAGATTGCGACTATCCGAGGTGTAAATGTCAATTTTAGTTTGACATTTGACGTTTTAAAATTTTTCGATAAATCAATTTCCGATTTTGATTTCCAATTAACTTGAGCTAGCTGTTTTGTGAAGTGTTAACATGTTAAAAATTCTTACATTTTTATCATGCTTTTTATGTATGATCAACAATTTTTGTTTAGCTGTAATTCACTTAATTCGCTAATTATATTTTATAATTAAAAAATGATAATCCGTAGAGCAATTTGGAGCACGATGGTTGGGCAAATATTAAGTTAGAACATTCTTTAGTCGCATTAGAAAACCCAATTTTTACTGAAAGAGGAAATATCAGTATTCAAAGTTTGAGGTTAGGGCAAGCAATTGTGAAACAGAACCCTTTGACTGAAGAAGAAAAGATCCATTTAAGAGATTTGGCTACTAAAAATCAATTTTATCAAATTAGATCAACGGTAGTTGCAAGCGACGGCTCAGAAAGCAAGTTTTTATCTACTGTTAAAGCTGTAAAGTATTACAATAATTTTAAAATATTTTTAATGTGAAAATTTTTTTTAGTGTATGCTTGCTGAGGCTGAATTGGATGATAGATTGTTAGTATCTTTAGATTACACTGGACGAGTAATTGGTGTCACACTTATTATTGCATCAAGATCAACGTGTGAAGGGGCTTTTGTTCCTTTGAGTAAATTGAAAGAATTTACTACCAGTGTTTATGTGAGACATAGTGATGTAGGACCTACGTAAGTATTAAACTTGTAATTGTAATAAGACATGAAATTGTTTTTAAGGCCTAATACCCAATCTTATATTGATAAACTTGAAAGAGAAAAAGAGGCGCGAGAAAGGGGTGAAGTTAAAGATAATAGATCAATTTTAGCAAAATATGTAGGTTTTGTATTAAGGTAATTTATTGTTATTTATTAATTAATATTTTCAGTGGATGTATATCGTACCAGTTGTTATTTTACTCATGGTTTCATCAATGGCAAATCCCGAAGCTGCTGCAGGAAATGGGGGCGGTGCAGGCAGATAAAAACGAATTTATGTTACATAAATTTATTTATTTACTAATAGAGAAATTAAAAAATTACTCTATTTCCGTGTCTTCTTTCTTTTCTTTCTTCGCATCCTTTTTAGACAACATTTTTGTCACCATGCTTTCTTCACGTGCTTTACGTTTAGCCTCTTTCATCGCTTTCTTCTGTTCTTTCTCTTTCTTCTCTAACAATTCCTTAAATTTCTCATCTCTTGGGTCAACTGTGTAGCCAAAGTGCATGCGCACTTCCTCAATGAGACGTTCTTTGCGTTCCTGTATAAAGATTTAAAGAAAAAATGAACACTTTTTAATTATATAACATCAACCTTCGCAGCTGAGGCCTCCTTTTCTTTAGTGCGTATCCTGTTGTACAAGTCTTGCTTCATCTGCTCTAATTTTTCCATTTTCTTGACGATTTCTTCTTGCCTCAACCTAATCTTTTCATTCTTTTCGTGTCTTCTTTTTTGAGCTTCTTCTACAATTTGAGGAATGGTGTATGGATATGCCACACGTTCATATTCTTTTGCATTTTCCAATTCTTCTTTCACTGGCCAACATATTGATGGGTTGACACCACTCGCTGCACCATATCTGCCATACAATCGGCGCATATATTTCAAAGTGCCGTGATTCCAATGTGCAGGTTCAGAGTATGGATTTTTCTCAAATAACATGTTGCGATCTGAATCTTTTAATCTGGATTTGTTCCGTTTGCGTTCAAGTTCCTCCTCCCGAGCTTTCAATTCCTCATCAATAACTATAAGACAAAAATTAACTACAAGCGAGAATAAAGTGGCACAAACCGCTAATGTCCGCTATTGTTGAATCCTTTTCCAATTTTTCTATGTCAACATTGGATGCTTTATTTCGGATAACGAACAAAAATCTGTTTGTTTTATACGTTGGATGTAATATTTGAATTGATTTTCGAAACATTTTTGGATATTTTTCTAACCTTTCAAACCAACATAACCCAACTCACTCAATCAAATACCAACCAAATATTTTTTCCACTAGAATGTTTTATTGGTTGCATATACTTACAAATACTCTTTTGTCAAGTTTTAAAATAAAAATAAGTACGTAACAATTTTATTTGCATTATTAGAAATAGTTCTGTAACAAAATAATTCTACTTGGCAAAACAACCTCTCGGCAAATAGGGCAAACATGTTGATATTTCAAGCTATCACAAATACAATCCCAACAAAATATATGACCACAAGGGGTTGCACACGGGTTTTTCCTATTTTCTGCACACAAAACACACCCTTTTTTTGATACATCTACTTCACTAACAAAATTCTCTGCAACGTCACCATTATTTTTAGAAGACCACAATTGTTGGATTAAATTAAAAAGAATATAAAACAGTGATAAATGTCCCAATAATTTGAAGCTTTGAGTAAAAGTATCATCTCTTAGCCATTCTCGTACCAATACCTAAAATAAATAATGGTATCATTCAACCTTGACTGGTCATTGAAGACTTACATATTTTATTGCTAAAATCCTGTTTGAAATGTTGTAATATTTCCCACCAATGTAAAAAAGTGAATGATGTATTCTCTTTAAAGTGTGTTTTTGTTCTTGAAGAAAAGTCAAAAGTTTTATTAATAGTGTTTTTGCTTGTTCAGTCAATTCATTAGAATGTTTTATTTTGTTAAGTAAGGAATTAATCAATCTATCACAAATTGGTTCTCCTCCAATATACAATAACAACCACACCAACTCAGCCTGAAATCATTCAATTACACAAGATCGCAATTATTAAAAATTATTTAAAAAAAAACAAACCGTTTTAGATGGAACTGTATTGTTATTACTAAATCTCAAAGTTCCTGTATACTCTTCGCCTAATGTTTGTAAGTTACCTAAAGTTGTCATGAAATAATACCAAGTGTTTGTTAATGCTGGGATGATCCTCTGACCACCGTGATAGTATCTGGTTCCAAATAATTTTAAAATTGCTTGTAGATTGTCTTGCATTTCCAGAACGAAACTTTCGTCTCGTTGAGCAGAACGCAAGACATCTGCCACACCTGCCTGGGAAAACTGCATTTTCTATAACAAAACTAAATAATAGTAAACACCTTGGGTAAACACGACTCCTGATGCAAAATTTACAAAAATTGATAATAAAAATCTGTCCCAGGTTATGTCCAATTGTGTCAAATTGATACCAGTCAATAGATGGCGCCAAATAGTTTACAATAATTTTTATTGTTTATCATATTTAAAAATCTGATTTATTGTTACAACAAAAATGAGATTATCGCAGGATGCGAAGAGGTTCTTGTGCGCGTGGGCCACAATTTGTAAAATATCTGCATTTCAAACATGCAAATTTTGGCGCCATTTTTTATGACACCGCTGTTTATTTCTTTGACGTGTCATGTTATCGTAAAAATTGCTACAATTTTTAAATGAAATGTCTCGTTTCTTAACTTTTATCTTTAATATCGCATTACACAATTAATAATCGATTAGTCTAACCCGATAATATAACGAATTCTTAATGCTTCTAACACATAACAGGAACTTATTAGGTTAGTTTTCTGAAGCGTAAGTACATTTTTTTCTTTCTGTCTTTTAAATGTTGTTATTCATTTCAGAGTAATCCAAATATAATTCACGTTTTTATTACGACCCCTAAAAACATCAACAATGAAACATCCTTCAGGTACATTAATTTATTTTAAAAATCCGGTTTCACATATTTTAATGAAATTTTAATTTTTATGGCTTTTTAGGTGACGCGTCCAAAGCTCACATGCTGAAATATCTGAGTTTGTTTGTCTTAACCGTTCAAAATGCTTTGCTAGGCCTAAGCATGAGGTATGCTAGAACAAGAGATGGTGACATGTTCTTATCATCAACAGGTAATTACATAACACCTAAAAAGGACAATTCGTCAGTTATTCTAATTGGCCATACAACTTAAGCCTCATTGAAGCTTTATATGTATTTAATTCAATTTTTTATTATTTGGGTGAAGACCTAGCAAAGAGATTCTAAGTTTAATTTTGTATTTGAAAGGGAGAAAAATCGAAAGGGTCCCTCCACTAGCAACAATTTAATCTGATTTAGATAGTATAAAAAATATGGTGGTTATAAATCACATTCGTAAATAGTCTTAATCCTTTAATTTTTTCCGGTTTCTGAATTAGAGATAAGTTCATTGAGTCAAAATTTGTGAACAAATAAGAGATTGAAAATATTTTCAGCTGTTTTTATGGCAGAAGTAGTGAAATTAGTAACTTGTTTAATAATCGTCTACGCCGAAAGTGGTGGAATTGTGCAACTTTTCGACGCAATAGACAATCAAATCATCAAACAACCTATCGACACGTTAAAAGTATGCGTCCCTTCGTTCGTATACGTCGTCCAAAATAATCTCCTCTATGTATCTGCGTCACATTTGGACGCAGCAACATATCAGGTTTGTAGTTCCTAAAACCCTATCTAAATCTAATAATCCGTTTCAAGGTCACTTATCAGTTGAAGATTCTCACAACGGCAATATTCGCCGTCCTAATACTAAAAAAAGAACTTTTGAAAACACAGTGGGTATCCCTGGTTTTGTTGATCATTGGTGTAGTTCTTGTCCAATTGGCGCAAACTCCGGTTAGTACACAAGTACACTCAGGGCCTGAACAAAATCGCTTCGTTGGTTTCATGGCGGCTCTTTCTGCCTGTGTACTATCGGGTTTTGCCGGGGTTTTTTTCGAAAAAATGCTCAAAGGTAGTGATATCACAGTGTGGATGCGCAACGTGCAGTTGAGTGTTTGTTCAATTCCTTTTGCGCTAATTTCGTGTTTTGTATATGACGGGAATATTATCTCACAACAGGGGATGTTTTTTGGATACGATAAATTCGTTTGGTATCTTGTTTTGTTGCAAGCTTGTGGCGGGTTAATTGTTGCAGTTGTTGTTAAATTCGCGGATAATATTTTGAAAGGATTCGCGACTTCGTTAGCTATTGTTATCTCTTGTATTGCTTCTATTTATATCTTTGACTTCCAACTCACAGCTCAGTTTACGCTAGGAGCGGCTTTTGTGATAGGGTCCATATTTTTGTATGGACACACTCCGAAAAAAAATATCCCAATGTCGTCCTATAAGGTATAAGGGATTTTTATTTACTTTTACATTTGAATTTTTTACTCGTTATCTTATTTTAACGCTTGCAGCATCTCAATTTTTAATCTTATGTGAAATTTCCTAAACGCGGGCCATATTACTGTGTTACGATCTTTCTTATACAGGGTGCGCCAGAACTCGCGCCCCAGAGAAAAATGCCATAAAAGGTAAGATACCAGGAACATGGAAAAAATGTTAAAAAAAAATTATCTATAAAAATTTCGAAGTTATGAGGGTTTAAAGTTTGCACTTTGCAACTATTTATTTCTGTTGAAAAAATAATTTTCCAAGTTTTTTTTGCTATAGGCTATTAAAAGAGGAAACAAGGAAGCTGTATCCTAAATTGTAACTCTGTTCAATGTTATTTGTGGCTTTTATTGGCAAAATTTTTGTCCCTTTACTAAATAATTGTAAAAAAAACATATACAAGATCATCAGTATCAATAAATAGATATAAAAAAATGTCAAATGTCAAAAAATAAATGTCAAATTTTTTTGAGAGACATAATTTTTTAAACATTTTTTCTTGTTCCTGGTATCTAACCTTATTGAAAATTTTCTCTGGGGCGCGAGTTTTGGTGACCTGTATACTTGTGATGTTCATATCTTTGATCTTATTATATAATTTATTAAGTAGTATTAATCTTCGTACTTAATTTAACCTTTTATGTTAAGAGCAATAAATATTTTACATTCTCTTAATAGAAATAAAATATTTTTTAAATGTTTTGTAGTATTATTTGTCTCTAAATAAAAATTAAAATCATGGTCTCGAATAATAGGTCTATTATTCACAAAAAGTCAACAATGTATTATTACATCATACTGGAATTAAACAACAACCAGGGATAACAGTCATAAAAAGCTAAAACAACTAATCGTAAAACAATATCCACTTCCAAATGGATAAAAAGGCATTTTTGACTTAATAAGCGAAACACAGATCTTTATCATATTTGAGCTTCTCCAAACTCGGATTGCAGGCATAATTAATCATAGGCGGGGGACCGCACATAAGTACAATGTTATCATTGCCTGGTGGGAAGAGATGTTCCTTGATCATATTTTCATTGATAAACCCTGAACTGTATTTCCAATCTGTGAAAAGAAATTAGAATCCTGTTTTACCGACTTGTTTAAAAACTCACTTTCTGGGGGTGTGTCGAGAGTGTACCACAGTTCAAACTGATCTGGATGTTCTTTCGCCACTTCCTCTAGTTCCTTTCGTACCAAAATGTCTTTTTCGGTCTGATTCGCAAAAATTAGTTTTAGTTTAATTTTATCACTTGGGTCTTTTGTGATATGTCGAATGAGTTGTAGCATGGGTGTAATGCCTGTACCACCCGCAATCATTGAAACTTTATTAACTGTGATGTTTTGTGGTGGGTCTTTGCGTAATTTTTTAATGGAAAATGTCCCATGTCCTTGGTACTGTAAACGGCCAGATGGTCCTCTAACTTCGATGGTATCGCCAATTTTTAAACTTTCGAGGTGTTGGGTCATTTTGCCCCCGTCGGGGAATCGGGGGTGGACATTTTTGAAGTACACCTAGCGAGTTAATTAAAGTGATTTTTTTTTTTCGAAAGTTACTCACCTTGACTACTAAATCGACATAGCCATGGTCATCATCTGAAGAAACGGGGGTGTATGATCGGATTATTAAGTCATCACCGATTTTTGCAGACAAGTGAATGTGTTGTCCAATTGGAAGCCCCAAAACGTGGTCTTTTGTGGGCAGTCCAAACCGAAATCGTCTTGTATCATGACTGATTTCTTCCTTTTCAATTAAAGGTAGCGAATATTTCGCTTGGGGATCCTCGAGTAGGATCTTCTTTTTGTCTAGAGAAATATTATGTTAGTATGATGTTTAATAAATGAATAATAACAATGATACCTGTACCAAACACCGGTAATTCAATCTCGACTTTTAATAAACTTGAAACACACAAAGTGAAAAAATTGAACGAAAAAATGTAAAATATTCCAAAAATGACAGTCGCAAAGTAAAAGTTAAATTTCATATTTTTAAACACTTAGATAATCTGAACCTAATCTAATCAGTATCCAGGAACTTTGAAGTTGCAATTTCATAAACTGTTATAAGTCGAAAATAAACAGTACAGTCATCGTCATTTGTTTATATTGGTAGCAGATGCTGAGAAGTGTGTATTACCTTTTGATTTTGATGGTTTTGATGTTTTGTAGAAGTGATAAATCAAAACACTTGTGATGATTACGCCGACCCCTAGAGCGATTGGCAAAACCTAAAAATAAAAAATTCACGTGTTGAAGAACAATTATGGTTTTAATTATTTGATTTAGCTAATGGAATGCACCTACGAGGAAAAAGTCTACGTTATTTATGTTTCTTTTGGATAAAAATAACGAATGGTATTCATATAATAATAGATGGCGGGTAAAAATAAAGCACCAAATCGTTTTCCGGGTCCTGGTTGCTAAACTTAATTATGAAAGTTCTCCTAGATTTAAAATGCTAGTTATTGAAAGAAAAATAGCAAGATAATGAGCCCAAAGAAAATGATTTACAATTTCTATGAATGAGGTGAAACATCAAAGCAAAATAAAAACAACTTATCAAAATTATTTTCGGGTTAACTAATTTGTATTTAACCCTTTTTATAAGCATTTTAAAAAAACATTGTTAGCAAATGTATTTATAACCCATTTAAATGTTAATAATGTTCATTGTGCAGTTAAAAATTTTGCGCCACACAAATGTATATTTACCAATTGGCGGTGGTTTTGGGGGATTCGGTTTATAAAATTTATTTTAATTTCGAACATTTTTCTAAAAATAAAAATACATAAAATTAGTGGGTGGAACAATAGTTGTTAGTAAATAACAGAGGTAAAAAGTTTACACAACAATTAAGGTGAATGTTTCAATTTTCAATAAAACCATCTATTACTATTATTAGTTTTTATTTCTACTGCAAAAATATTAAACACGATTGAAGCTTATCGCTATCAAATAAGAAATATCTTTCTTGTACAGAAGGTATTTATAAATCTGTGCATATTCGGGGCATTTTTTCACAACAAATGAGGTACCGGAGTTTTAAACTTATTTTACCTATATCATTTTGTATACCAATTAATGTTGAACATATTTACGCTGTAATTTATTATGCAATTTATGACCTTGTAATAAAATATACAAAAGGATAATTTACGACTAAACAATATTGTTAAAGGTCCTAATTATCATCAAGTATCCTTAAATGTATTTTTACAACAACTGTCTGACTATATAAATATTTTAGAATATAAAAAACGTCTAAATACAATTCCTTAGTATCGCTCGAAGAGCATTAGGCAATTTGATAAGTTTGTAGGTAAATATTTTTTGATAAAAACTAATTACAAAATTTTGTTCTATAACGATTATCTAAATCAATAAAGTAACAACAAACTGAGCAATTTATTTCCGAAAAATTATAAACAAGAGAAAAATGAACTTTCCTTTTCATTGAATCAGAATAATAAAATTTTAATTTCTGATGTGCTCTGACAATAAACTGCACAACTTTGTTCCAATAAGTATTGTATTTTTAAAAATAATGGAGTTATGGCTTGGGGCGTTTTTTTAATAATAATGTACAGGTAAAAATACTCGCATAACAGAGCAGATTGTTTCAAACGTTTCAAACATAATTATTTGATATAATTTTAATTAATCACTTTTTTTAGGACTGGCTGTATAATCACAGATTAAACATTTGTAAAACAGATAATCTGTGGTATAATATAGAACGTACAATTGGGGACAAAATACGTTGAATATCATTTTTCTGTTACTTCCAAAAAAAATATAAAATAAAAAAGCTTATAAAATGAGGTTATAAAAAAGGTTATAATGTCATTCAAATGACTTTGGTGACCAAAGTAATTTGTCGGAAACTGTACAAAATGTTACATTTTAATTTTTAACACTATTTTTTATGCCTTACTTCATAAACGATACAATTTTTGTGTATAAACATACATAAACGAAATTGTATTTTTTTAATACCAATATTTAAAAACAGAAATACCTACAAGGTGTTCTTTTTTAATGCGCCCCTGTCGTTTCCATTTTATCCCAACTTAACCTCAATTTGTAATTCACTTAATATGCACGATTGTGTAATGAATATTTAACAAACAACAATGTGCGATTCAATTTTAATAATTTGAGAGACTACCTGATTTTTTTCTTCTTCCGGCATTATAAATTTGTACTTTAAACGAAGGAACTGACCACACAAAACACTAAGCCTTTTGCCAGACCTTTGGCCTTTATTCGACTGATGTACAATTACGTACACTGCAAATAATCACTTACCCCACTCAATACGTTTGTCATCTTTGTTCTATTGTAACTGTATTATGTAAAAATCTTTATCTCAAAAATGATACCACGTTCTGTGGATATCACACCACTCAAACACATGCCAGATACGAACGAGGTATATGTTCTGTTTCTGTCCAACAAAACAACCAGTGAATGCGCTCAAAAAAAAATTATTTTATATTTAGAAGGTTGTCTGGAGGTATTTAATATATTGAGTTGAATTTATACACTGGAATGAATTTTAATTTTTTAATTAAAGAAAACCTGAGTTTAAATGACAAACAATCATTTAGCAAGGAATAAAACAATTTTTCCAAAAAAATTACTCAAAAACAGAAAATCGAAACAAGGACTAAATCAAGGATGCTGAGTTTTTTTGAAAAAAATTTCAAAATAAATCAAGAAACAATGGATAATAATGCGCCACTTGCTGACTCGATACTAAAATCTTATTTTGGCAGTTTCCTGTAATACCATTCATTTCCTAACCTTATTTTACATAAAAAATTAGAATGTTATTAAGTAAATTAAATGCCGTTCTCAATATCGGGAAAGTGTGCTTACCTGAAGCCCTCCAAGTCCGTTTTCGTTATCACGCCGACAAGGTAGCAAGAGGTCCGTTGTTGCGTCGTTACGGTTATGAAGAAAAAATCTTGCAAAGAGGGACTCTACCCAGAGTTAAGGGGGCTCCAAGGTTGCCTAAGCCTTTATACAAGCCCAGAGACGTCTGGTCCGAAAAAAGGGCACTATTTGGTCAGAACGATTACATAGATATCTTGGGAAACGAACGTTTACATCCTTCCAGAATTTTGTATAATGTCCCAACTTGGTTGAGGGGAGTTGGCGGGAATGAGTTCCAAGTGATGCTTAGGAAAAGAAATATGTTGGGAAAAACCGCATACCCTCTTGCAAGGCCAACAAAGTGGTACCAATTAGAAAAACGAATAAATTACCTCTACCGCTTTTTAAATAGGAAAACAAAAACCGTGTAATTAATCACATGTATAAATAAAAGTTTTATAACGGTAAAAACAGTTGCTTTAATTTTTAGAAATTCATATAAATAATTTAGTTTATACAATTGAATTAAAAAGCCTTACTAGGTAGTATTGTGATATTAAGTAGAATTATTTACAATTGCGTTTAAAACTTGTTACAAAGCTGACTTCAATCCACATATAACATACAAGAAACAAATTGTCTCACTAAGATTTTATGAAATACACTTTGTTGAATTCTCTAATCGGCTTTTATTTTTTTTAATACTGGTTGACTATTAACAACGCAAACGAATTATAAGTGATTTTGAAGGAAGGACAGCAAGGTTGTTTCATAATGTTTACTCGCATCAATGTGTCGTAATGAGTGCCTCTCATTGGGGTAGATTTGCAATTGGTAGGGTTTACCTGCCTTTACCATACTGTTGATCAACTGACTCGTGTGATAAAAATGAACGTTTTCGTCAATAAGGCCGTGGATTATTAGCAGCCGGTTTTCCCTATAAAAATTTAAATACAACATTTCAAACAAAACAAGTTAATACGCGTACTCTTCTGGAAACTTATTAATGTAATTCAAGACTGATCCCTCCATATATCCTTGAGGATTGTGCTCAGGCAAATCCATATATCGCTCGGTATAACCTGTATCATACAGATTCCAATTAGTAACTGGAGCTCCTGCTATCGCAATTTTAAAAATGTCTGAATAGTGAATCAGACCCATCAGGCTTAAATAACCACCTAAAAAATAAAATTTTCCCTCTGTAACTATTACTTTATTAAATTTACCATAAGACCACCCATGTATTGCAACACGATTCAAATCAATAAAATCTAAATTTTCGGCCAACCATTTTAATACTTCAACTTGATCATCCAGTTCCACAGTCCCCATCCTTCTTTTAATGTGACTCTCAAACAACAAACCTCGATGTTGGGAACCTCTAGAATCGATTGATATGACACAGTAGCCCCTAGCTGCCAACATGTGCATCCTCAACTGTCTCATTCCCTGTCAAATTATATTAGAAAAAAATCAGTGATGATAGTTGTAATTTCATTACTTTGAACGAGTTTGAGACAAGCTGGACTTCTGGGCCTCCGTAAATATTTAGCACCGTTGGGTACTTCTTCCCTGGTTCAAAATGATGGGGCTTGAAGACCATAGCGTACAAAACATTACCAGATGATATTTCGTGAGTGTATAATTCTGGGCAATAATTATCATTGGCTAAAGAGCTCGATTCTAGCAAGTAACCAATTGGAGTTAGAGTAACACCTTCAACGGTCCAATCCGTGTGAGATATCCGGAAGACTTGACAAGCTGGAGGTTTCTGGATGTTGCTATAAACGGTGACGATCATTGTGCAGTCCTGGAAATACCATTGTCATAAAAAAATCATACAGGCTGTATTATGAAAAACGCCCCAAGCCATAACTCCATTATTTTTTAAGTTTAAGTTATGACAATACTTCTTAGTACAAAGTTGAATATTTTTTGTCATCTATCGTTTGGGATAGATGCTAAATTAATGCTGTTTTCTGTTTCAACGGAAATGACATTAACTTTCTTTTTTTTAATGAAACACCCTGTATATTTTACCACTTTAGGATTCTTTGTTTAATTGTCTTTTAACAAGTTTTAGTACAATGTGCCTAAAACCAACCGTTCGTGAGATATGAGTCAATTAAAAATTTATTAAAGTAGGCAGTGGAAAACAATAATATTAAGTAATGTTGACAAATATTATTACTTTGCATTTTCTCTTATTATTTTTTGGTGTTCTGGTGATAATGTGTTAACAGACATGATTCAAGAATATTTTGAAAGCAATAAAAATAGTTGGAGACCACAACGCTTTTACACTGGGCGATTTCCAATAAGAGAAGTTCCAATTCGTCGACCTGAAGAAAATTTGAGGATGTTTGGGGTTTTTAGAAAACCCAAATTAGGTTAGAACAGTTGCGTGCGATAAGCCAACGTTACTTGCAATTTCTTGAATTCATGTTCTTGCATTTTCTTCAATACCTATCTAATTCTGTATCTCTTTGAAATTGGAGATGTTTTAATTTGGGTTTTCCAAAAGCCCAAACATCCTCAAATTTTCTTTAAGTCGCTTAAATTTTCGACGATTTGGAACGTCTCTCATAAGAAATCACCCAGTGTAAAAGCGTAGTGCTCTCCCACAATTTTTATTTTATTCAAAATATGTCTGATAACACATTATCATCCATGATTAACATTAAAAAGTATAAAAACAGTAAGAGAAAATGCAAAGGAATAATATTTGTCAACATTATTTGATATTATTGTTTTCCACCGCCTACTTTAATAAATACATTATTTGGTGAATATCTCACGAACGGTTAGTTTTAGGCATATGGTACTAAAACTTGTTAAAAGACAATTAAACAAAGAATCCAAAAGTGGGAAAATATACAAGGTGTTCCATTAAAAAAAATAAAGTTGATGTGATTTCCGGTGAAACAGAAAACAGCATTAATTTAGCATCTATCCTAAACTATAGATGACGAAAAATGTTCAACTTTGTTCTAAGACGTATTGTCATAACTTTAAAAATAATGGAGTTATGGCTTGGGGCGTTTTTCATAATACAGCCTGTATAATCGGAAAGTTTTGCCTCATTGAAATCAACGGAATAGGAAAAACCTGGCCTAGTTAGCAATCTGACTTCTCCCGGTCTCCTTAAAGACACGACGTATAAATGTTTTTCCAACGGTGTCTCTTTGAGCCCCATGAAATAAACCAACTGTCTCTCGTAATCGACCCAAATATTTTGTGCTAAAACTTCCCAATCGCCTGACGTTAAAGCGACTTTGGTTATGATTTTCGGTTGTAAAAATATATAATGCATCGGTTCTGTACTTTCGGTGACTCCATTACTGTAAGGTATAATCCTCGACGTGATTAAATACAAATGTCGAAAACCTGTGTCTTCCGAAGCCCATATAAATTGCACTTCGTTATTGTGATCAGTGGACGGCAAAAAACACAGTAGGTCATGCACATTGACCCATATACTCGATTCTTGCGAATAGATTACTTGGACTACGGGACGACCGAATTGAACATTGGGGGAGTCCTCATACATTGGAAGCACTTCGGTAAAGTTACTTAAAGAAAGGAGAACCAATTCGAGTTTTTGTTGACGTCTGTCGAGCAACTGTACCCAAATACTGGAAGATTTGAGTTTGTTTCCGGTTTTGCGTTAATAAGAAACTTACTATTCGGAGTCCGGCGTCCAACCAACTCTAACAATGTACTCCATCCAAGGGAATAACATTGATAAAGAAAACTGTAATTCTAACATACAAATATCTACGATCTGACGATGCTCGTTTACTTTAAATTCGACCATTTTTAAATACGACTTTGAGTTTGCACAACCGGCACGAGGAAAACGGAACTCTTCTACTTCGCCGGTGTCTGACTGAGATGAGGGAAAACAAAAGATTTTTACATCACCATCATCAACTTCCTCATATAAAATTCGATAAACACCCCCTGGAAAAAATATTTCGGCTGTAACTTACACTTAAAAATATTCAAGCAATCGGTATTTTATTTAGTTTACAAAATCATAAACTCCAAAGTTCACAAAAATATCAAACAATTGAAAAAAAATTAATTTTTGATTATAAAAAATCAAAAAAATAATTGATAACTATTTTTAAAAATGATGAAAATAGGTTACACAAAAGATATCACGATTCGTAAAAAAATTCTATTTACAAGACTTTTTTTCAATATTTTTTTAGTTTGTTGTTGTCATGTTGGCGGTTTTATTACACCTGCATTACAAAGCGGAATAGTTATAAAGTCTGTTTTTTCTTAAAATGACCAAGTCAAAATTTTGGTGAAAAAATTGGTAGCAGCTTGTCTCCATAGCCACAAATTTTATTTGCTCTTTGTTTTTGTCCCTAGAAATTTTGTTAAAAAATTATGGTTATGTTTTCAAATTGAGATGTTAAAATTTTGACTTTTATGAATCTTGTGTGCCTGTTTGCTCTTTGAAAGCGTTATAATTGAATACCTGAAGACAGACATCATTACCTAAGGTCTAAAGACAGAATTTAGTGCTATAATTTTTATAGAAACACATCGCAAGTAAGTACAATGTTGTGGACAAAAATAAGGTTCTTGCTACAAAAACTTTGAAGAAAAAGGATGTATATACAGAAAAAAGTTATTTAGCAAAAGATGCAAGTAGATATAATGATGATTGGCAATAAATTTTGTGTAATTTATTAAAATGAGTTCAAAGTTGATGCATTTTATAAATTCTTCTTCAGGTTTAGTTTTAAAATTGTTACTTTTTCAACTCGTTCTTCAAAAACGATGCACAAGACATTAATTTAATTGCGTTCTTTCCGAGGTTCTTTCTCATTCATGTTTATTTTGTATTCTTGACAATTTCTTGCTAAAAATTGAGAATGTTTAACAAACCTGCATTATAAATTGCGTCTACATTTTAACGGGCCCTTTTTCTAACTTCCTGCTTGCGAACTAATCGTTTCCAAATTTCTAAAAACTGTTAGCGGTACCAAATTTGTTTCTTTTTTGGTGTTTCGTCTCTAAATTTTCTTACACGATTTTTTGTGTTGACGTTTAATGACATTGTTTTCAATTTTATTCAAAAAACCGGAACTGCCAACTTCCTTTATTAAAATTACAATGAATGAATTTACTAGTGGTACAGTTGGAGACAAAATACTTTGGTCGTCAATGTCACTTGAGTGACATTAAATTGTAAAGCATGCTTTAGGACTGTTAACCTTATTTCTAGCTACTGTCAATCATAGTTGACAAGTTGTACATATTTTTGATAGGAAAATATAATAGCTGTCATTAATTTGAAATTGTCATTCGTTTTAACGTTAAAGCTTGAATTACATTAAAGTGTCGACCAAAGTATTTTGTCTCCTACTGTACCAACATTAAGACTGTTTGGCATTTCCATTTAAAAAAAAACAGACTTTACTCGTTTTCGAATTAATGTGCATCGAAGTAGTCGTTGAAAGGGATCATTTTAAGGTGGCAACCATGCGAAAATTCAAACAATCCTAACTTCAATCTTCTCTAAAAAATATTTTTTCAAATAATTGTGTACCGCATGTAGCAAAAAATAATTAAAATTAACAACGTAATTAACATAGGAATGCAAACAAAGATTTTTGTCATAATTGATGTGATTAAATTTGCTCTGAAAGACATTAATGACACTTTTTGTGTAAATCGGTCTTTAAATTAAAGATTCATTTAGAGTTCTACAACCTACTTGATGCACATTAATATGAAAAAATTATTTATATCGGTAATACTTTATAAAGTATTTTTTTAAAGGCACACATTTATGTTCCAGGTTTCTTCAGTTTGAGAATTAAAAAACCCTAATGTACAAAATTTCAATACTTTTGCGATAAAAAAATAAATTGGAAAAATCCATTAGTGTCGAAATTTTACAAAATAATCACCTGTACATATTGGTTGCCACCAGTACCCTTGGTACCTGCAAAACTCCTCTTGCATGACATACGAGGGTACTCCTGCACACAACGGGTCATCCGCAAGGTATCTGCCCCCTTTATGGGCGTACGTCAATCGAACATTAGACCCAGAAACGGTATGGGTGACCCAAATATCATGATTACAAATATATGCTACGAGATCAGGGTTTGAAGGGCAAATTTGAGGATTTAGTTTAGCTCCAGCTGAAGTCATTCGTAATTTGGTGGGAAATAGAGGACCGTTCTAAAATACTTCATAAATAACAATGAAACGTGAGGTGGAGACATACTGAGTATCCATTATCAATACACTGGAAAAGACTACTGGAAGCGGGAAAGATGATTTTCCCTGATTCACTATGAATTTCGTAGGTGTTGATACCCCAAGTAGCCAACCGTTTTCTTTCCCAAAGTAATTGTTCCTCTCGTGAAAACTTATTTGTAGATGACAGACTTGGGAAATTTGATTCAATTACGCATTGCCACTGTAAGCGCAGACTAGTGGGTTGGTTCACATTGGGCACGTCTGCATATAGTAAAGTGGTTTCCCAGCCGTTTTGAGGGGTACTTAGAAAATAAATTCGAGTTCTTCCATCTTGTAAAGTACGGAATGAAACTGCTGTGGGGATCATAGTAGATAGACTTGACAATTGTCGTCTTAAGTCGCTTACGACGGCCTTAAGCTCTGACCAACTTAATTTATTCCCGGTCCGCTCTATTTCCATAGTTTATGTTGTATCACATCTGGTATTCATAAACCTGTAATTTTAAATGGATACATTTACGATTTTGAGTCTTAAAAACGCTCCTGATAACTTACTAATAATAGAACAAAATGTGTTCAATTCACTCGGATCATTATTTTTTAAAGAAATACTTAGATATTTATGTAAACTTTTCGTTTTTGACCCAAATAAAAAGTTAACCTATTTACTTGTCACCCTAAACACCAACGAAAGTTACTAACAACAATAGAACAAGTCTACCAATCCTACAAAAAATATGTCTCAATCTTTTTTGTCATTATTATTTTTGAAAATTAAAAATATTTTGTAGGTATTCAAAATTTTGTGCACATTCGTGAAACATAACTAAAGTTAAATGTGTTTTTATAATTTTTAAGTTTGATTTGGATTCATTATTGAATGAAGGGTTTGGATACCCTGACTTTTGACAATAATCGTTGATACAAGTCATAACATAACCTATAAATATTAGTTATATAAAATTTTCAATTTAAATTTTTGGTTTCATTATATTGTAAGAACAGTAGAAATTTGTTTGTAATGTTTACATCAAGTTAAGCTTAAAATGGTGAGTATGTTTTAATTGAGTAAATGTAATTTTTGAAATTGCAGGGGTCAGAGCAAGAAGCAGAAGTAAAAATTATAATAACTGGGTTATTAACTTCTAATCCGCTAAGATGTACAATTCAGAAACTTTGTAAAGATTTCCAAGAGACAGTAGGATACAGTATTCCTTTTAGGAAACTTGGTTTTACAAATATTGAGGATTATTTACATTCAATTCCAGATACAGTTCAAGTATGTTTTTTAACGTTTTCTTACAATTATTTAAAATTGGTAGTGTAGGTTTTTGGACATGGACCTTTTGCAGAAGTTCAAGGTGTTTTTAAACCCAAATCAGCCCATATAAATTTAATGGTGGTAAAACAAAAAAATGTTCCAAAAAGCAACAGGTGAGAATTAGATTTGCCGAAAGTAAAATAAATTTTATTTTATAACAGAAAGCAAATAAATACACTTCCCAAAAGGAGGCCTCTTTCTCAAACTGAAGATGGATATAGGTCCAAAGTACCGGCTGGAGTACAAAACCACTTGAGAAAACTTATTTTACAATATCCTGATGGTATATGGTGTACAAAATTACCAGAAGTGTACCTGTATAACATATGAAAATTTTTACACCACACATTCACAATTTTTTTTTTAGAAAAATGTTCAACGTTCGTCTTAATTATCAAGAATTTCACTATAGGTCTTTAATCGAAATGTGTACTGATCTACCGGAAATTTTTCACTATACTCAAATTTCTTCAGATGATTATATGTTGTATGATAAGAATTCAGCAGCACCTTCACTGAATCAAAATGACAAAGTTTTGAAATTTTCAGACAAAAAAAAATTAGCAGGAGCACTTAATGTGATATTTTCTTCTTTTTTTTAATTTGTCAATATTACTAATTTGTTCTAGTGGTCACTTGGTTCAGCTTTAATTCCTCCAAATATTGTACATTTGTCAGAGGAAATTCCTCGATATTTTCCCAATACGACATCACAGGGTGAATATCTCGAAGTTATGGTGGGAGAAATATATGACATTAATAATTTTTGGGTTTATTTAGCTAATGGACAGTTGAAACAACTTACGGTTGATTTAAAGTAAGAATTATAACTTGTTATATAAATAAGTTTAATTGATTTTTTAGGGAACATTTTCAAACTCAACGAAATCGTTACGTGATCCCAGAATTGTTTTTACAAGTAGGATTATATTGCGTAGTTTTATTTAACAAAGTTTATCATAGATGTATTATTATTGATTTATTGGACACGGATCCACTGACTGTCAAAGTTAGTTTTGCTTTAATAACAGTTTGTTTAAATTTGATTCATATATAATATTTTAGGTCCTTTTTATTGATTATGGCAGTATTGGAGAAATACCTTGTGATCATATTTGGTATCTTCCTAAAGAATTCAGTAAGATTCCATGTCAAGCAATAAAGGCAAGTCTATACAATATAAAATCAGAATTAGACGAAATTCAATGCATCAAAAAATTTGAACATCTTATTAGAAACAAACGATTAATAGCTGAAGTTTTAAGAATTGATAAAAGGGTTTGTGTAAGGATACATATTTGAAAAAATATAATAACTGTTCAATTGTAGGAATTATTTTTGGAAATTTATTTAGCTGATGTATCTAATGAAGAAAACATTTTTTTTATTAATGATCGACTTGTCGATGAGGGGTATGCGGCTTATATCACATAACCTGAAGTACCGAATTTGTTTTTGTTTTTTCATGAGGTAATTTTTGAGTCGTGTTTTTTAAATAAAAATTGTTTAATTTCCCTATTAAATAAGCACCAGAATTACAAAAATTATTTATTCACAAATCTGTTTAGGCAAATATAAAAACAAAATTACATGAGTAATGACAACCACAAAATAATAAATTAAGGAAAAAATACTGATCAAACTTAAAATCGAATATTTTGTTCCTCTATAACCCTCGCTGGTGGCTGGGGTGCAGCAGACGACTTGGCGGGTTTTGCAAAGTGCACGGTTCTGAACACTTTCATGAACTTCTGGTTTTCTGAAGAACTCTTAACACCTCTCCAGTAGACGGTCTGAACTGCATTTCTTCCAGCAATGTAGCGAGTGGCAGCCCCAACAATATTCTTGCCTTGCATTTTGATTTTCTTCTTTGTAACTCTCGAAACTGAGTTCTGAGTCAATTCGAAACTGACTTGACTTCTCCTGCGGCTAGCGCGATTTATATACCCGAGTCTAATCGGGATTATCGCACAGGACCGGCTTTAACGAGTTTGGATGATGTCAGTTTGCACGTGCTAATAGTAAAAACGAAGTTGTAGACATTTTCAGAGCACGTGGTTAAAGTATTAGGAAAATTTGGCTTTTGTTGCTGATAGTGTGTCATGTATTTTGGAAGTGACCGTTTTACAATGGATAACTATTTTTATTTTGATCGATAAGAATAAGAATTAAAGGTAGATTGGGTAAAAATAAACAGATAAAAAACTATTAATTGTTTACAAATAAAACTGTCGCACAGTGGCACAATACGGAAATTGTAATATGTATGATTTAAAAGATTCACTAGATAATTTTTTGCTTTATAAAAAGTCGCATTAAGCTTTCCTGCTCTCTTGCATTTGTAAATATTTTGATGATTTTTATCTTATTTTTGTACTTTGAAAAATAATTACTTTTTCTATCAGCGTTTTAATTAAGAAAATATATTTCTGTGAACACGAACTACCAGCATGGATTACATCAATTTGTGTTAAGAATGTCATCGTATTTACGTAAAATGTCGCATTGATATGGCCAAAAATACAGTTTTTGACTTCTAGAGGAGAACAAAAGGCGTCATCAGCTAATCATGCCATGTTTCGATGTGGAATATTTATATAATTTATTGATAGTTTATTGGCAAAACAATAATAATCAACAAAGGAAATATGTAACTTGGTTATAATTTTTTTTCTTTAATGACGTCAGCAGTTAATGTGTTATCATTATTATGCTCAGAACATAACAGACATGATTTAAAAATTCTCCGGACACGCGGTCTTATCCTGAATCGTTAAATTTGATGAGTAATTGGATATTCACTTAATAAAACTTTTGTAACAAAACAAAAATGTGAACTTAGAACCCTGTTTAAGCTCATCAGTTTTAGTTTCGGGTATTTTTGAGAAAATTATAATGGAATTTATTAATTTATTAAAACGATTATTAGTAGATATGCAGGCCTATTTCAAAAATATACAATTTTTTAAATGTTATTTAAATAGTGAATTAAGTAAATTCCGATATACGTAACAAAAACAAGGAAAGTCCAACGTTATCAGTCATGTTTATTTTGGTGTACTTTATCCTTTATTAATTTTTTTCCATTAGACACGAGAAATCATCTAGAGTAAATATAATCATCAGGTGATCATTCTAAAAGCACCTGTTCCGATAGGTACCAGATATTAGGTAAATATCTATCTGGCAATATTTCAAGTTCAATATAAATGATAAAATAAGTGTAGACATACTTTATTAGTTTTGATCAGATTAAAATAATGAAAAAATATTATAGATAAGTAAGATTTTTATTTTTACACAATATTTATTGTTAAAATAAGGAAAATATGTACTGGTCTATCATTGTGATTGTGATTGCGTTTACAAGAGGAAACATTTTTTTATCTTTCATTTTACGCCAAAAGTTAAAGGAAAAACATTTTTTGCTTCACCTGAAACGAGCAAATCTGTAATTAAAACTTCATTATTCTGATTCAGTGAAAAGAAAAGTTGATTTTTCTTTCTTTTTTAAGTCCTATCACATTGGCGGTTTTATTTATTTGACAACTATACCTATGTCAAATAATGTTAAAAATTACTTTGTTTTTTATCTTAAAGCTGTTTCTTTGAGTTGCTATTTATCAAAATTATGTTTTTCACAAACACTTTTGTTATTTAAGTCAAAATCAAGAAAAAAATGAACTTTTATTTCTAATGAGTTAGAATAATAAAGTTTTAATTACAGATTTGCACGTTTCAGATGAAGCAAAAAAAAATTTATTTTGCAGTTTTGGCTAAAATCAAATAGGTATAATTTTTTTTTCCTCTTGTAAACCCAATCCGGGGACATACTGTATGTATGTACAGATGGAGACAAAATAGTTTGGTCGTCAATGTCACTTGACTGATATTAAATTGTAAAGCATGCTTTAGGACTGTTAACCTTATTTTTAGCTACTGTCAATCATAGTTGACAAGTTGTATGTACATACAGTCGATCAAAAAGTCTTTCTATCAAGTAGGCGTCCTAGTTGAGGACGTATGTTGCATGGCAGTTGTTATCTAGATGTCAAAAAAATGTTTTATAAAAATTAAAACATTGATTAGCTAATTAAACTGAATTATTCTGTGAAACGTCTCAAAACAAACTAAAATGAGATTTTGTTGGTGTTTATTCATAAAAACCGTTCACCACGGTTTCCTGTAATAATTTACATAAAAAATATTTTGAGATTTCTCATTTGTCATTGTGACATTTTAACTTCCATAGACATACGTTTTAAATTTCTACGCTTGCTTGATAGACAGACTTTTTGATCGCTTTGTATTTTTTATAGGAAAATATAATAGCTGTCATTAAATTGAAATTGTCATTCATTTTAACGTTAAAGCTTGAATTACATTAAAGTGTCAGAAAAGTGACGACTAAAGTATTTTGTCTCCAACTGTACCCATATAATTTCTGTTTTATTAGCATCGAAAATAATATAAACATTTTCAAGCATAATTAAAAATGACAATTATACGTACTATACTTTCTTATTTAACATCTATTGAAAATTCATATTATTTTTTGTAAATATAGTTAATATTATGGCACAAGTGTGTTATATATTAAATAAGTCAGACAAGAAAAGGTTTATCTCAAGTGTCCGACTACGACTACGACTGGTAAATAAAAATGATATTATGTATAGGAATTTTTCAAATAGATTTTGTTTCGGGATAACACAGACTTCCGGATATCCGAGAGTCGGATAATCGGAGTTCTTCTTTAATAAATTCAACTTAAAAGTGCTCAGTAGAAAAAATATTATAAATAACCCGTGTTTAAAGTTTAAGTCTCTTATTGTGATACTCGTGCATTGTAATACTCGTATCTCGGGGAGAGTGTTTGCAACACTTGTTTTTTAAGATGTATTTTAGTATTTTAGCTTCAATAAATTATGGAAATTTTTCAAAGATTTTATTTGACTGAATTTGTTGTGTGTTATACTTGAAATTCGTAATAAATTGGAAAAAAAAAACAGTAGCTTTTAAAAATAAGATGCATTTTTACAATACGGGATGAGTTATTTACAAAAAAGACCTTAACCGATTTTTAGACGCAACCCAAAATTCATTCTCACAGACATTTTTTGAGAAACTTAGAATAATAAATTTAAATCAAAGTAGTTGTTGATATGTCATTCATTAAATATGACAATGTCATGAATTTCACTTTTTTTCCTTTGAATTCAAAATGTACTCAAACGACGAAAAAAACTGACACGATCTTGATACATTTATTCTCCATTGAGAAAGACATAAAATACTGCTGAATCTGTACCGTCAAAGATATACACCAAAATTTTAAACTAATAAAACATATGTAGTAGGCAACCAAAAATGCATTAACAAAAGCAGTTGAAACTTTAAACACTTCCTCACAGAGTTTTTAAAGCTGCTGTTGACAGTTTTTCATAACCTACAACCACTAACAGATAAACTTTTTCGCGTCCACAGTACAAATAAATTCATCTTAATGAAACAAAAGGATAAACGGAGTACGATGTCAGATGGTAAATATTTCTCTTATAATATCGTGAGTCTGCACAGTAAAATTTCTAGAGGACATCATTAAAAGAAAGTTACTGATTGATGGTGATGGGACCGGCGACGATCGCAGATTAAATGTAATAGCAAAAACCCTCAGAAAATGGGCGAATTCCTCCGAAGAATCACCTTTAGAAAACCAAGCAACACATGACAAATTATTAGCTCAATTAAGCTTATGCGAATATTCAGTGAGAAGATCTCAACTGCTCACAAGAACTACAGCAAGACAGCTTGAAAATTACAAAAAGATTTACGAAAAGTTTGAACAGCAAATCAGTGAAGTGAAAGATTCAATAAAACAAAACAAGGATAATTTAGTGCAAGCTAAAATTTGGAAACAGAACCACATGATGTATGATTTGTTGGCACAAAGTATTGCAGAACAACCAGCCCGTAAGGAAACAAACGAACGGTTATCTAATTTGCAAGCGGAATTGAAAGAGTTGCATAAGGAAAAAGAGCTTCTAGAACAGAAATTGGATATGAGGAGAAAGCAATTCCATGTGCTGGTTTCTAGTGCAAGTAAACTGCAAGCAATGTTGGAGGAGTCAAATGAGTATTGCAATAACGACAGTTTACTCGAAGATGTTGCTGATAGTACAGGTCCTGAACCCATGTCTGAGTAATTTAATCAATAAACAGTTGTATAATTATTTAAACAGTTTTACTTTAAGCACTTTTGTTACATTTCTAATGGTTACAGAAACTCGAGTGTCTCTTTTAACTTTATCACCAATGGCATATTGTTTTTCACAATTTAATAAATTTGCACAGCCTTCATCAATAATATCAGTATCAAGTTCTCTAATGGAATGGAGGTATTTAGTGAACATATCATCTTTGATTATAACTAAACTACATCTTTCAAGAAGTAACTGGCAAACTTTAACTCGATTTTCGTTATTTTCTAAAAATTCTAATACTGTGTGAGAGCCACATGAAATCGTGGCAATAGTGGGATAAAACAAAGGGCCATCAGTATGTGGCATTATCCCTTGGCCAGGAAGATATTCGTTGATTAATACTTGATTTGGTTTGTTTCCTTCAAAAACATTCAATTGTGCGACTTTCTCCATGTATTTTGTCAGCCAATTTGGTATTGCTTCTGGAATCATCCCTTTTTCATGGGGCACACCCCCATAGTCTTGCAGTCTTCTTTTGGACAAACAAGTCCACTTTGGTTTAGGTACCGAATATACATTTTTCAAAATGTGAGCTTCTTCTTCTGGTGTTATAAAATTAGGAATGTAGTAGATAGTCGGAGGGGCTTGCAAAACTTGAAAACTACTCAAATCCATTGTTTACAAACACGCAACAGTGAAATAAATACATGTAATAGGTGGAATTTGGAGCACAAATAACAAAAATTCTGTGATATGGGGTGGAGGGCTAAATTGTAACTTTAAACACAAAAGTTGACATCTATGTGACATTTGTTTAACCTAAAATGTCATTTGTGACAATTTGTTCGTAATTTTTATTTACGATTTGTTGATAGAATGAATTGTTTTTGATTTAATTTAAAGTGTCATGTCTTTAGTTAATACCGTATTTCGATCAAAAAAGTCACCATTAACCAAAATCAGGATTTTGAAGAATTTAAAAAAAATAAGACACTTTTCGATCAGTGCTTTAGTTCACCAAAAAAATGATGAACATATTATGCATGTGTTCGACAGAAACACCAAGAGTTTGCAGAGGGAAAGGGCGGCTTCGGCCCAAGATGCGAATTTGTATGATTATTTAAAAGATGAGATTGGTTATAGGTTGGCTGATAGGGTCTTTGATATTAAACGCAAATTTAAACTGGCTGCCGACATAGGTGAGCTTTTAAGGTACCTAAACTCATTAGTGGGAACCTAAAACCTAAATTACAGGTTGCAGCAGAGGCTATTTCTCCAAACATATTTCACCTAAATGTATTGAAGAACTAATTTTATGTGATATGAATCGCTTTAATTTAGATAGTGTTCAAGTACAAAAGGGTATTAAAGTTAAGAAACAAGTTTTAGATGAGGAACACATTGAGGTGATTATTTGAAAAAAATCTATTTGGTTAGTTCGAAATGTATCACTTCCAGTTTGAACCAAACTCCCTTGATCTGGTTATATCAAGTTTGAGCTTGCATTGGGTGAATGATCTACCAAATGCATTTAAACAAATTTTAAAGTCGCTCAAAGAGGATGGTGTTCTTCTTGCAGCAGTTTTTGGAGGAGATACTCTATATGAATTGCGTTCTTCTCTCCAATTGGCTGAACTAGAACGTCGTGGGGGCATTTCTCCTCACATATCTCCATTTACTGAAGTTAGAGATATTGGCAATTTGTTGACAAGGGCTGGTTTTACAATGCTCACAATCGATACTGATGAAATTGTCGTGAATTATCCCACTTTATTTGAATTAATGTGGGATCTTAAAGGTTGGAATGATTACAATGCAATAATTTTTGTATAGTTTATGTTTTTAGGTATGGCAGAGAGTAATGCTGCTATTAATAGATCACTTCATTTGCATAGAGAGACACAGTTTGCTGCAGCAGCAATATACCAACAACTTTACGGTAAAACCGACCCCGAAACTGGAAAGACCACAATACCTGCTACCTTTCAAGTAAGAAACAATTTTATTTTTTTGTATTATTAAATTGTCATTTTTAGATCATTAATATGCTAGGATGGAAGCCTCATCCTAAACAACCTAAACCACTAGAGAGAGGAACTGGAGAAGTATCATTAAAGGATTTGTACAAACTGGATGAAATTATTAAAGAAGTGAAGAAGATCAAAAGCGATGATGAGCAGAAGAATTAGTTAACAGTTATTAGACTATTTAGTTTAGTTTGTATATTTGAAGTTTCTATATTTTACTAATCTGTTGAAATAAAGTCTGTTTGTCTCAGTGATTTTTTTCTAATTGTGAGTACGTTGTGGAATTCCTCGCAAAGAATTCTTACAAAATAACGCGTTGGAGTTCCTAATCTCTACCTGGATGATCTCAAAAGTATTTTAAAAAGATCCTATAGAAAATAATCGGAATAGGCAACCAAATAAACTTACGACACAAATTTATGTTGTGAGGTTGGTGTGGATAATTTAGCACTAGCGGGAATTACGTCGCAAACAGTTGACGTTTTATCTGTCAATGCCACAACCGCCAAGAAACTAAACAAACAGAAGTCACAGCTCGGAACATCAATAAAATACTCAATTTTATTAAAATTTTAATAAGTTTTCATATATCTGAAGTTGTGATGCTATTGGTGCATAATTCGCAGAACTGTTAGTACAATTAAAACAATGAATCACCGTAAAAATATACCAGGTAAAACATTGTAAACAGGAACAAATTTATGACAGTGATTTGTAGATGCCACAAGAGTGAACACCGTGGGTCGTGCACATTCCACACTTAGTGTCTCTGCAGTTGACTATTATTTAAATTTACCAGTGTCTAGTCCACCTTCACCTGCAGTTTCAACAGTAACTTTAACTCCAGGGAGAATAAGAAATATTGATCAAGATATGGAAGCCTTGAGAGCTTCAAGACAAGATAATCCATTTATTCAAGTAATAGTATGGAATACTTGACGTTATCCGTGAACTAATTGATTTTTTACACACAGCAAGTTATAGCTAGTAGGGAGAGTCTTATAGACAGTTTAGAGGAAGAATCAGACCATGCTAATTTAATGTCAAGGGAATTGTCTATTGACTTGGATGTAGACCCTTTAACTCTTCCTGAAATGCACGAACACATGATTAGAAGTCCCCCGCCTACGACATGGCCAAAATCTTCAAATTTTAAAATGTTTCAGTTTCCAAATGGTGAAGAAGAAACGCTTCAAGTAGAACTTAACGTATGTTAAACCGAGGAGTATTTTTAAATTGATTGAAATTTCTGTTTTAGACCAAAGAAAAAACCAAAAGTGATCTAAAACCAAAACATTCAAGTTGGGATGGATCGGAAACGTCACCTTTAAAATCATTGTCCAAGTCACACCATCACCATCAAGATGTGTTTTCTCTATTGACACCAAATTCACTGAGAGCTTCAGGTGAAGATAGTATTCATTTAATGGCTGAAGATTAAACATTCCTTAAGTTTTTACATTCCTAATATGGTAATGTGATACTGTTTTCTAGTCAAAGCGTTGCAAATATTGTACTTAACTTGTTTCATTTCAACGGAATATATTGTTGAAACCAAAGAAATTATAGTGTTCCAAAATTTGCCATAACTGTTACACTGCTTCAAGTCGTAGTCTTGTTTCCATATCTAGGCAAAATTCTAATAAACTAATTCATTTATCTAAATTATCTTGAAGTAGTAAGGGTAATTTATAGCACAATAAGTTCCAAAAGAAATTGTGAAGATATAATTTTTATAAGAATATATTTACTAAATATCCTAGTTTTTATGATGCCATTGAAATCGGGGATAAAATCGATATATTTTGTCTTGAAGTCCATATTAGGTCAATTTCGTATGTCTCACTGATTTGGAATTGGTATTTGTGATGGAATAATTAATAAAATTTTCTTTATTTGCTGATCCATCACTACGAATTCAGATTGCATTTTATTTTTGAAACATTGAAACTACCAACTTGGTGCTGGTCACTACACTGATGGTACTTTGTGATATTATTTGTAGTACTTAAAAACTTCGTTTTCGGATTTTTGATCTCGCTATTGTTTTTTCCTTGTCGAGTGCAATTAATATAGACCGTTAGGGTTGTAAGTGGTCTTATTCTAAATTTGTGTAATACCCATGTACAAAAACCCTGAATTGGCACTTTTTTGTAGAGTTTATGTGTAAATAATTTATCGATAGTTTTACTGTGTTTTATGTTGACGATTGAAACTTTTATATGCCTTTTTAGCCAGATGTTCTAGTCCGTTTTTAATGTTATAATTAACTGATTTAATGGCAAAATATTCTACTGCTTTAGAATATATCTATATGTGCAGCTTGTTTAGCTATATTTAAAAGACATGTTGAGCGTGAATAGTCTGTACAATAGCGAGAGAATATTTTCTTGTTAAAGTCATAGTTGTAAAGACTTGTAATTAAAGGGATTTGATAACAGTTATATAACGTGTACAAGTTAAACATTTTGTAGATTAATGTCGTGTTACATGTTGAATAAACATTTTTGAAATAAAAGCATCTATTACGAAATGTGTTTTAATGTAATTATTTATCGAAAAAAAGGCGTGATTGTAATTAAATTAATTTTATATTTAGTAATACCTAATATTGCATTAAAATGTACAATTGTTGACAAAAACTTGTAACGAAAGTTATAAATGTTGGACGATTTTTTTCATAAACATATTTAAAATGTTTGATTCGATACACCAAAATTTTGAAATAATTAAGTAACTAATAGTACACAAATTTTTATTTGTATAGAATTGAAAAATAATGATAAAACATAAGAACAATGCAATATGAATAGTTACAAGTATTTATGTACAATTAATTATCTCATACAGCCAATGAAGAGTTGATGCAGGTGACAGGAGTGCTGATCTAATAACTAGGTTTTGGTAACGAGTCGATACACCTTTCAAATGGATTGGGCACAAAATGGAATGGTTCTAAATGATTGAAAAATAAATATCCACGTCAATCAGTTTTGAAAATCTGTTGTATTTATGGTAAATATCGTATTTGTGCCGACAGGTACAAGAGGAGAGCATTTTCCAGGGTGGCGAACCGTTACCGTAAGGAGGGAAGCGACTGTCCTAAACATAAAGCAGCAAGATGTCTTGAAGGTGGGAATTACCTACACCCTAACTTATCTAAGAGACACGTATAGACATTCAAGTATCATCGACTTGGATGTGGCAATAATCAACACTGTATCAATTCATATTGCTGCCACCACGTCAGTCAGATATAACACAAGTGATCAGTAATATACATTCATATTTATTACGTTTTGCAAAAAAGCATTTTGATGTATAAGTAAACAGACATTGAAAGAATCCTATAGATTTGCAAACTGTTGGCTAAGAGAAGCGGACATTTATAGAAAATGTGCGACGAGATGGCGCCGCGGTCGCCGGCCGCGACAGTACGGACAGACTATCTCAAAAAACTCGAGTACTTTACAAAAATAAGTGAATATAATAGTCATGGAGGACCCCGCGGGGTGGCGCGGGACTGCGCCGCCCGCACCTCGTCGCTTACATTGTATTTGTAATAACAACACCGTGCAATCACCTGTCAATCTCTCAAACATGCATCTATTAACTCATTCACGCCTAATGAAAAGAGGCTCAGTTCTTGCGAAGACGGGTCGCGGCCGACACCCCGACCTGTCCACGGCTTATAAAATATAAGGCCCCCGGCCCCAAAGCCGGAAGCGTATAAAGAATTTGTACTCTTTGAATGCTAACCGATGGTGGGGTGGCGACGGCGGGCTTGAGATCTGAAGTTGTGGATGGCCCGCCGTCCACGCCGTTTTGTTTGTTTTTTGTAAACACACTGTACAGTATTTGTTCTTTTTACAAATTATAATTAAAGTTTTTACTCCCCGGGGAGTTGATTTAGTGTGCTCTGAGAGCACTCATGGGCACGCGAGCGCTGCAGACTTCTCTAGAGCCCCAAACTGGCCGAGCTCATCTATAACAACCCATTACCGATAAATTAATTCATTGCAATGACGACCAGCCAAAAAAAAACAATTCTCGATCCATCTCAACATTTTGTTGAATAAAAGAATTGTTATTTGTGGGTGGTTGAGGGGTTAATGGTTAACTAACTAAGTAAGAGTGGGGTTAAGTAATGTCAACGTGAAACGGGTCGAACGAACGAGGTATAAGAAAATGCGCGCGCGGCCCGCAGGCAGTCAGGTCGCCTCGGTATAATAATAACACTATTCATACTCTGATTTAGATTTAAAATATTTACAATGTACATAAATAATAATTTATATTGTGAATACGATGATAATTTGGATGTGGCTTAGAGACAGACGACAGACAACAGACAGACAAAGATGTGTTCGTTGACTAGGGCAAACACGTCGCGCGGGTGCCATCTTCAAGGCGGCTTTGTAATATACTGGGTGGAGGCGCGTCTGCGTCTGCGGCCCGGCCTGGGCACGTTGTCCGTCCGTCGGTCTACAGCACGTCCATGACGTCCATCTCCGATAACGTAAGGCGGCTGGTCGACATCGCCACTCCGCTGTCGCTGGACGTCGACTGCACGCTGGAGTGGTCGTCGGTGTCACTCTGGGTGCTCGTGTAACCGATGACGTCCACTTCGTCTAAAACAACAACAACAAAATTACAAATACAAATAGGATCTAGTGTTATAATTTATCAACAGATTAAAAAGTTAATAAAACAAATTCATTAAACAGTTCATTTTCATATCTTTGAGTTCTGGCTAAAAGCAAATTGAGTAATTCCATGCCAAAACGATCACTTTTAAAACTCATTGTTTCTGATTTTCGTAAATTTGAGATATGTTATACAGGATGTTCCGTCTAAATCCCACTTTAGAAGTATTGGGAGTTCGTATTTATTTGAAAATTGGTACATAGCCATAAACCATTAAGTCCTCCTAAATGAAAATATTTTCAAGATGGCGGCACTTCCGCTTATACCGGAAGTCGGTCTCAACATTCTTATTTTAAATGGAAAGGTATATTTTTCACTGCGTTTTTGGATTAATCGGGTTATTTTAAGGGAATTTTCATCAGCTTTCCCTATTACCTAAATTTAGCCGTTTTTGAAATATTTGGAGTTTTTCAAAAAATTTTGGATTTGCACCTTCCACTTTAAAAACCGGTAACTCTGCTATTTTTTAAAATTTTGAATTCGTTTTTTTGGCGTTTGAAAGAGAAAGCTTAGATCTTTCTTTCGGTGTTTTCAAATTTTGAAAAAAAAATTAACAAACCATAAAATTTTAAGGTTACTTTTGTAATAATTCAAATACCCATAACTCAATTTTTTCAAATGAAATACCCCAATTTTTATTATACTAAATGGAGGAGAATTTAATTCTGCATCGATCTGTATTAACATTCCCTATACCAATATTTAATAATTTTTAAGTTATGGTGACTTTTTGTTGAGACTGCCGAAAATCTGTTATTAGCCACATTCGTTTTCGTATAGTTTGCTATGGAAATAAAAAATGTCAAAATTGTTTCTCAATAAATGTCGACAGTGACTTATTATTTGACAAATAGTGCCAAAATATGGAGAGTCAAAGCTACTCAAACTTAGATTTAATTAATTTATTTTGTATTTATGGAGAGTGTAACAAAATTATGATATCGTTCATTAAACAAAAATAAACTTTTCTCACTTGTTAGCTTTAAATAATGATTGCATGGTAGAACCTATCAATAATAATTAAGTTTGCATAACTTTGATTCTCCATATTTTGGCACTATTTGGCAAATAATAAGTCACTGTCGACGTTTACTGAGAAACAATTTTGACATTTTTGATTTCCATAGCAAACTATGTGAAAATGGGTATGGCTAGTAATAAATTTTCTGTAGTATTAAAAAAAAGTCCATAACTTGAAAATTATTAAATTTAGGTATAGGGAATGTTAATACAGATGAATGCACAATTAAATTCTCTTCTATTTAGTAAAATAAAAATTGGGGTATTTCATTTGAAAAAATTGAGTTATGAGTATTTGAATTATTACAAAAGTAACCTTAAAATTTTGGGATATGTTTTTTTTTTCAAAATTTGAAAACACCAGAAAAAGGATCTAAGCTTTCTCTTTCAAACGCCAAAAAAACGAATTTAAAATCTTTAAAAATGGCAGAGTTACCGGTTTTTAAAGTGGAGGGTGCAAATCCAAAAATTTTTGAAAAACTCCAAATATTTCAAAAACGGCTAAATTTAGGTATAGGGAAAGCTGATGAAAACTCCCTTACAATAACCCGATTAATCCAAAAACGCAGTAAAAAATATACCTTTCCATTTAAAATAAGAAAGTTGAGACCGACTTCCGGTATAACCGGAAGTGCCGCCATCTTGAAAATATTTTCATTTAGGAGGACTTAATGGTTTATGGCTATGTACCAATTTTCAAATAAATACAATTATTCCAACTCCCAATACTTCTAAAGTGGGGTTTAGACGGAACAGCCTGTATAACGTGTAAAAATAAGTGACATGTATTTCACCGGTTTTTATTTTTTCAATGTATGTTGAAGAAACAAGGATGTACAAAATTAAGTACCTTGGAGCAAAAAGAATTTTTTATCTAAAGAGCAAATCAACTTATTGAAACGATTTTTTTTTAAATAATAGATATAAGTAGGTATACTACGGACGTGATAATACATGAATTCTAAAAATTTGTTACTAACAAATAATTTAAAAATTTATAAAATAAACAATTACGCAGGTTTTTAAAATTCTCAAAAAAATTATGTAAAAACTTTCAATTTTTACTATGTCTTCACATAAGTTTCAAGAGGGACGTTTTAAAAATGGAAAAAAAAATTGGAAATTAAATAGAAAAATTACCATTTACCGTCACTAATAAACTGTTCTGAAAAAAACACATTCTTTCCAATGATTTATTAACATTTATTTTTACCAAAAAATATCAATAATAAAAAACAAATTCTTCGGTTGAGTAAATATTTCAGAATTATTTCACATATTACGTTTGGCGTGTATCAAAATTCCTGGACCAACGTGACATGTTAAAAAAAATCTGTCAAAAAATTTTTACATTTATTTTTTGAAAATTGGCATTTTTTATGTCTATTTAATGATATTGATGATCTTGTATACGTTTTTTTTATAATTATTTAATAAAGGTACGATAATTTTGTCAGTAAAAGCCACAAATAACATTAGACAGAGTTACAATTTAGGATACAGCTTCCTTGTTTCCTCTTCTAATAGCCTGTAGCAAAAATACATGAAAAATTATTTTTCCAACAGAAACAAATAGAGTCAAAGTGCAAAATTTAAACTCTCATAACTTCGAAATTTTTATAGATAGATTTTTTTACATTTTTCCCATGCTCCTTACATGGCATGTTACGTTGGTCTGGGACTTTTGACACACCCTGTATAATCTAATCGACAAGTTGAAAGACTTTGCGATTTTTTATATGATTACATGATCATTTTAGTCGAGCGAAGCTCATAAGGTACGCGAAATCTACATACTTTTATTTTAATCAGAACATAGAATAAACAAAATATAGAGAGTACTCTTCGTCATTCAACCGAAGAATTTGTTTTTATTATTGATATTTTTTGAAAAATAAATGTTATGAAAGTTTTTACATAATTTTTTTGAGAATTTTAAAAACCTGCGTAACTGTTTATTTTTTGTTTAAACATTATATTTTTAAATTATTTGTTAATAACAAATTTTTAGAATACATGATTATCATGTCCGTAATGTACCAATTTATATCTATTATTTTAAAAAAATCGTTTCAATATTTTGATTTATTCTTTAGATAAAAATTCTTTTTGCTCCAAGGTACTTAATTTTGTACATCCCTGTTTGTCAACATACATTGAAAAAATAAAAAACCGTGTCACGACAACAAAATTACAAATGCAAATAGGATCTAGTGTTATAATTTATCAACAGATAATAGTATATTAAAGAACAAGTTTTATAAGGGTTGATTTGGCTTACGAATCCCAAGTTAGAAAACGAGCCGTTGGCGAGTTTTCTATGGGATGAGTGCGCCAATGCCATTATAAAACGAGTATTTTATGCTATTTTTTCTAATTTGCGCCTCCTTTTTTCTTATTTTAATTAAAAAAAAAACATATTTTTGTCGTCTAGAGAATTTTGTGTTATCGGTATCGGTTGGTAACTCTCGGCGCTCACCTGATTTTTTGAATCATTTCTGTCATTAAAAATAAAATTTAAAATTATTAGTTATTAGTATTACAACATAATAATAAAAAATAAAATATGAGCCAATAGAATTTAGTTTGCACTCCGCCCGAAATTCGCGAAATTGCCGAAGCAACAACGCAAAATTTGTTACCTGACAAGTCAGAAGCGGCATACAAAAACTAAATAACCCTAAACTCATTAAAGTACAGTCTACTTTTATAGATAGCCATAAACGACTCCTATTGAAAGACGTTAATAAACGTATTATAAACGCAAATTTAAAAAAAAGAGTTAATAAAACATTAATTTTCGTATCTTTGTGTTCTGGCTAAAAGCAAATTATGAAATGTGAAAAATCAGTTTAAATTAGTCATTTTTTAAATCAAAACACAAACAATGGTTGGTCATTTTATTATTTGTACTTTCGAACAAATATGACAAAATAATAAAAGAGCCTCCTGGTTTTTGTTTTTTTTTTGTATTATTATTTTTGATAAATCGCATGGAAAATTCTCAATGCAAAAATTGCTTTTTATAACAATGCGATAAATTAATATCTCCAACATTGACGCAAATATAACTTTATGAAGAGCCATATTGTTTTTATCTAATCGAGTCAAAAAAATATTGAAAAAAATAATTTTTTGTTGTAACATTTTGATTTATTTCTGTCGACTCTCACATACGAGTAAATATAGTTGCTGGAATCTAAAAATTCCTGAGGATGTTAGCTAGATGTTGCAACAATATTAAACCAACTCGTTTGTTTATTATCTTTTTAACGGAAGATATTTGTGAGTTTAATGTACAGTTACGGAATTAAATTTCGGGCAGTATTTTTCTGTCAGTTCAAAAAGTTTACTGTAAACTACCTTTTACTGCATCATGACATTCAAGACTGACATTTGACAATTAAACTTTTCTGTCAGTGTTTGTATCAATTTATTTTTGATACATGGTGTATAGATGAAAATAATTTTAGGTGATGCACTAGATTAGTATAATCAATGTCCGATACAATTTTTTTAAAATTTTATCATTTAAAGGTCACTGATGGACTTTTTCAACTCGCTGGGACACTCTGTATATGTGTGTTGAGAAAAAACAGTACAATTAAATATTTTGTTTAATATTACCAATTGTAACAATAAAACTGTGAAGTGGAATAAAATTTCATATTGTTTTCTAGTGTAGGTATAATGGAACACGTTTTCTACCGAAAAACGTCCCTAGTGATTAGATATTCGATTCATTAATAATGTTGTCAGTTTAATTCCTAACATTGGGATGTATTTGTAAAGTTTGCAAGTGCAGACCAACACAGGTGGCCCCACAATATAAAGGCCTTAAATTACTTCCCAACCGTAGCATAATGAGATTTATTTAAAGTAGTATTCCCGCATCTGGCGAATT